ATTGAGTGTAAGACTTCTAACTCTTACACCGGTGTAAGAATATCTTTCCCATATATATATATATATATATGGGGCAAGATCCTTTGACACCGGTGTTAAACTTTGAAATTTGACACCAAATCCTAACTATTGATTTCCGTCAATCAACAGTTATCATTTATTGAGAATTACACTTATTAATTAATCATTAACTGTCAATAAATGATAATCGTTGATTGACGAAAATCAACGGTTAAGATTTGGTGTCAAATTTTAAAGTTTGACACCGGTGTCAAATGATCTTCTATATATATATATATATATATATATATATATATATATATATATAGTGTGTGTGAAACAAAACGGCAGAACGTTCACATTTAACACAATAATTAAAATCTTACTATAAATTCAAGTTGATAGATAGTTTACGTCTAATGTTGAATTGGAGATTGCATCCCCTCATTCTCTAAACGTTTCATAAAAAAATATTATGAAATTTAATTGAGTAAAATTTTGTTTAATTATTGTGACTACTCACCAAACAGCATTATTGATTTCCTAATAAAGACGCCTCATAATGGAGAATTACTCTCATAAGAAAATATGAATTTGCAACTTAAATACATGACGTTTACATGTGCCAACGAAATACAAAATTATACAGATGTTCAATCATAACCTTTAACGCGAATAAATTGCGCGCTGGAATTGGTCTGCTGTTTGATGCAGATTTAGCTTCTATTTGTAGAACTCGTCGTATTTCAGTTATTTAATTTGCGCTATGGTGTGTTTTACTCAGCTTACCAAAAAAAAAAAATTGCGCGCTGCCCCATCTTAAGTGCAATTACGAAAAGTATTCGTTTAGTAAAGAATTCTTCATTCAAATCATCAACTTGGCATGAACTACAATCTTTATTAAGATGAAGGGGATACGGTAGAATAAGAAAATGATTTTCCTACTTTCCATGTGCTTCCCTTTTGCGTGGCATCATATTATCAGAGATTCAATTCAAGATTGTTAGATATATATAATATAAAAATCATTAAAACTCATTTAGGTGAAATAATTGTACGAGGGGATATATTAAAAAATATAATATAAAAATTATAAAAAATAGACCTATATAATATTCACGTTTCTAATTAAAAACACTCTTATATGAGGGCTTGCTTTAAAGAGACACAATATAAAAATTATTAAAGACACATCACTTACAAGTTTAAATTTTGAATTGAATTAGTTTTTTACAAAGATATTATCATTCAGTTAATTTTCCATTATGGCATGGCAATTTTTAACAATTTTATGCAACGTTATTAAAATCGGCTTAGTCATTGACCCGATCAAGGTACTGGGTCACTGGTTCAACCGCATGATCCGGTAATTATATGCAATTTTATAATTTATGTTAAAAAAATTATAAACATACTCAAATATCTAAAAAAAATTGATATTGACATTTCTTGGCAATTTCCTTCTTTGGGATTTGTTAAGGTTAACACAGATGATGCTGCTCGTGGAGCTCCTGGCATAGCTGCTTGTGGTGGGGTTATGAGATATTCTCAAGGGAGATGGTTGAGTGGATTGGCTTATAGACTTGGGATTTGTAGTTCTTTTAAAGCAGAGTTGTGGGGTGTGCTTCGTCGGCTGGAATTAGCTTGGAATTCTGGTCACCGTAATGTTATAATTGAAAGTGATTCAACTTGTGTTATCATTGTGCTCACCTCCTAGGGTGCAGCAGCTCATGAGAGTCAGTTGATTTTTCGGATACGAGCATGAATTCAGAAAGATTGACCGGTTAGTTTCAACCACACGTTCAGGAAAGGAAATGCTTGTGCGGATTGGATGACAAATTTTATCTTGGAGAATGATGAGGATGTGCAATATCTTTTTTGTGAAGAACCAGCACCTGGCATTCACGTTATTTATCTGGCTGATCTTACTGGAGTGGGAAGATCGCGAGCTCTGGTGATCCAGTAGCTTCTGTTTCTGTTTTGGTGTTCTGTCTTTGTTTTTGTTTTTTTGGGCTCTGGCCCTATTGGCTATAAAAAAAATTGATAAAAATTTCAAATATTTTAATATAAAAAATAAAAAATCACATATTATTATCCAATAAAGGATCAAACAAAAATATAATGATTGTGATACTGGGATTTAGGTTCAGAAAATGACATTTCTAACTATAAATCAAATCAAAATTTTCTGTATAGTACATAATTGAGATAATATTAGTGTTGTAAGTACATAATTTATGTAAGTTGATAAGCAAAAAAATATTTAAATATGTATATTATGATTTTTTTTTGAAAACAAAATTGGAATTTGTTTTTTTTTTTTTGGATCGAGCCGGGTCACCGGTTTTCATGAAAACCGACTAGGTCAGATCGGGTCGCACTGGTTCTGATGCATGGCCGATCTTTTACTTCAATCGGACCGATTATATGATCGATTTATCGATTTCTTAATCAACCCGATTAGTCGGTCCGATTTTATTAACATTGGTTTTATGTTGTTCTCCTGGTCGGATCCAAATGGTGTAAAGCCTAAAATCGTGGTGTAAAGCCTAAATCGTGTTCTTAAAACTTCAAAATAATCACGGGGATGGTAGGTTAGGGGTAGAGTGGGTTTAGTTTAGCTTTATATAGGGTCTATTAGTCAAATTAACTAGTAAAAAATGAGAACAAAAAATTTAAATGAAAAGTTCATGACAAATTAAAAATGAGTTCATTTTATGTTGTATAATGTTATACTAAATAAAATGAGTTCATTCACGTATACAGATGGTGTTGACAAAGTTCATAGTAGGTAGGAATTATCAAGACACAAAACAAAAGAAGCTTATACACCCCTTTAGGCTGTAGGATAGTTGGAGCAGGCAAATTGGAAACTTTTTCTTTGGAGTTTTTGTCTCGTTCCATATCAACTCTTCTTTCCCTCTCCTCCTTAACTCTTTTTGATTTCAGCCACTCATTATGTTCCCGATTCTTTGACTCAAAGAAACTGACCTTTCCCTTCCATTAGTGTATACCTAACGTGGTGTCTGTTGTAGATATTAATTTTGATTAGTCTCGGATACAATCATTTTAGGTGAAGGTCTTGTTACATTATCTGAGGGTAGCCTCTACAGATTTTCATCAACCGATCTAAATCGATTCAAACTACAATAATCAAATCAAAAATTGAATAAATTAACAATCAACAAATCAAAAATCGAAAAAAAACCCGCAAATTTTAATTGGATTGGTTGATGAAAACCGATTCAATCCAAACCGATTAATTTTCCTCTATCTACTTGGACCTTCCCCTAATTATAGTCCAAAAATTTCTAAATCCAAGATCCATTAACCCATCAATTATACCCAAAAAAAAATCTAGTCATATCTCATCAACCAAATTTCATCTTTGTAGAGTTTTATATCTCATTGCCCAAAAAAAAAAACTAATTATTGTTTACTGATGCTTTTGTATTTCAAAAAATAAAAAATTGAAAGCCAATATATACAAAATATGTTATTTGCATAATAATCATGAAACAAATTTTAGGATTTTCAAAAAACCGAAAATCGATCCAATTCAAACCGAAAAAAATTGAATTGGATCGGATTTAAAAAAAAATCCAAACCGAATGAATGATTACATGATCAAATCGAAGGGATTGGATCAGATGATTTTTACTTCTAAAACCGATCCAATTCATACCGCGAACACCTCTAAAGGCTTCTTCATTATCTATTACTACTTTTATAAAATTTATTTTGTCCCAGATTTTGTATGTAGGAATTATCAGAGTTCTCTATATATATATATATATATTTTTTATTTTTTTAATGAAGAAAAACACTTAATCAATTTATTGGTTTTGAGAATCCTATCTATTACTTATCTTTCAATTAAATGTGTTGTAGGATAGGAATTCCAGTCTTCACGGAGCTGGTAAGATTGTGTGATAGAACTTTTTTTTTAAAAAAAAAATACAATGATATTAGCATGGGGCATGTACTAATGAAAAATAATCCTACCAGTTTACCGTAAAAAGAGACTAGAAAGTCTTGCAGGCATTTGCATTCAATCAAGAGTAAACAGGGAAAACAACTCATCAATAACAGTTCAATTTTTTACTTAACTATCTCTTTCACAGATTTGGTAAACTGAAATTAGGAACATTAGAAGACGCCCCACTCTCACGTCTAGACACTGCGAACCCTCACCAACCCCATACCAATTTCATTTGCCATGTGTTATTTCCAACTACACCTTTGGGACCCGCCATTCGAACCAACCACTCGTAGATCACCAATATCCCACCCTTTACCCCTGTTTGTGAATTGTGATTTACAAAATTCGAAAAACAACAAATTAAATAAATATTATTTTGTACAAAAAACTATCAATTGAATTTGGGGGCCTACAATTACTGATTTAAAATTAAAATGTTTTAATGAATGTTAAGGTTTCAACCATTACCCTTTTAAGAAATCAAAATAACCGACCTTATTTAGTTTGCAAATAATATTGTATAAAAAGCACCAATTTATTAAAACTGCATAACTCATGAACACTGTTTTTGGCCCTAATAAACAGAAGACAAAGGATTGGGATTATCTGGAGTTACTTTAAAATTGAATTAGATTATGTTCTTTAAGAACAATTTATTGTATATTACTTTTTTGAAATTTTCAGTAATTGCACATCCTCCCTGCATAGTGATTATAAACATTTATGTTTCATTTTAGATGTCATCATTCAATAAAATGATGTCATAACCCATTTTCCATAAGTACATGAGAAAATCCCCTGCCAACAAATAAAACAGGACCAGTGGGCCCTATTATCAAGTGGAGGCCTGAACCATGCTCGTTGGTAACGCCTAAAATGGACCTCACCAACCCCGGACCGGACGCTAGCCGGTTCAACCAAACATAATAACCTTTTCCTTCACTGTACCGGTTCAAGCCGGCCTTTTCCTTCCTTATATTTACCATCCTCTTACAACTCCTTCAACAAGCTCAAGCTAACTCTTCAACGCATAACAGAAGCTGAGAAGGGAGAAGAAAAGGAAACAAGGAACAAGGATTATAGCAATGGCAACCAACGGAGATGAGAAGCAAAACGAAGCTGGAAGGCACCAAGAGGTTGGCCACAAGAGCCTTTTGCAGAGTGATGATCTTTATCAGGTAGGAACACCCAATTAAAGGCCTTAGTTAATGTTTTTTTATTTTTTATTTTGGCTTCTTAAAAGTGATAACATATCAATGGATGACCCTTTATTCCTTCTTATTGTTGTAAATGATTTTTTTGGGTTCTTGACAAAAATCATAAATTGGCTATTCTCTACAGTACATTCTGGAGACCAGTGTCTACCCAAGAGAACCTGAATCCATGAAAGAGTTGAGAGAGTTGACAGCAAAGCACCCATGGTATAATCCATAGATCCCAGTATTTGATCTTCCTTATTAGGTTTCATGTTAAATTTCCATTTCAATTATTTATTTGGTTCCTCTCTTCATCGTGACTGATTGATTGATTGAACAACAGGAACATCATGACAACCTCTGCAGATGAAGGGCAATTCTTGAACATGCTCCTTAAGCTTATCAATGCCAAGAACACCATGGAAATTGGTGTTTACACTGGTTACTCCCTGCTTGCCACCGCCCTCGCTCTTCCTGAAGATGGAAAGGTATCAAGAGTAGAGTTTAAGATTAAAGCAATTTCGTATTTATAAATAGAAATTTTATATTAGAGTCTAGAGTAAGTCATCAAACATGTTCTATTTTGAATACCATGTGTTAAACTCAAAACACAAAAAAGGGGCTAAACCTTGAGTTTCTGGTTGTGCTTGTTACAGATCTTGGCCATGGACATTAATAAGGAGAATTACGAACTGGGTCTGCCTGTAATTAAAAAAGCTGGTGTTGCCCACAAAATTGATTTCAGAGAAGGCCCTGCTCTCCCAGTTCTTGATGAAATGGTTAAAGACGTAAGCTTTTGCATCCCTTAATTTCCGTGTCCCATTTTGATGGGAAAAAAAAAAGTAGAATGCGTTTAAAGGAGTGAAAAAGACTAACTGAATGTTTGTGTGTGGTGAAATGCAGGAAAAGAACCATGGGAGCTTTGATTTCATCTTTGTGGATGCCGACAAAGACAATTACCTTAATTACCACAAGAGGCTGATTGATCTTGTTAAGGTAGGAGGTGTGATCGGGTACGACAACACCTTGTGGAACGGGTCTGTGGTGGCACCCCCTGATGCTCCTCTTAGGAAGTATGTTAGGTATTACAGGGACTTCGTGTTGGAACTCAACAAGGCTTTGGCTGTGGACCCCAGGATTGAGATCTGCATGCTTCCGGTTGGTGATGGAATCACTATCTGCCGTCGGATCAAGTGATTGCCTCTTGTAGACAATCATGATCCACCGTTGATTCACCCTTTTCATTATTAAGTCGGAGCTAAAGCATTTAAAAGCAATCAAGCCTTTTCTTTTTTTTCTTTTTACAAAATATTTGTGTCTGTATTATTCTCTTATTATTGTTGATATGGAAACGGTGGATAATTCAAACTTCTATAAAATGTTATCCATTAATTACTACAAGTATTGTAAATCTTATTTATTCGCATTGCAAGTTTTTAAACAGATGTGATGTGTTTATAACTTCGGATATTTGACAAAACATTAGTTATTTGCACAAAGGAAATAAGTTTTACACAGACGGAACATTTAACCATTAAGCGTTTAAATCTGGTTGACAGTTAGTAAAATGACATCTGTGAAGTATGTGAAAAAATGTTTCGATGCAAGAAAAATATCTCCTAACTAAAATATTCTTTTTTTTTTCGCTTTTTCATTTATCACCTTCCTATTTCGCTCATGCTTCCTATTAAATCATATTATTACCTATTAAATAAAATATTCTTTTGAAGAATATTTTTTTCAAGGCAAAAAAACTTTGAACATTGAAGTTTAAACAGTCACTCTTAACCCTTGCCGCACCAGTTGAGTTACCTACATACATTTTAATTTTTAATTTATTCCGCTTCCCGTCTTTGTTTCTTTCTTTTCTTTTCTTTTCTTTTTCGGTGTAACTTCATCCTCTCTTCTACCAAATACCAACTTCAGTTTTATAATTTACTTTTGCTGATTTGTTTTAATCATAAGGACAAACTTCCCCATATGAAGTAATATTATTTGTTTCCATAACATCTTATTTAGATTTTCAGGTGAATTGAACTCTATAGCTTATCGATCACAAGGATTAGAATGCAAAGCAAAGCATTCCGATTCAGACAATAATTAATGTATATAGAGCTTGTCATTACAGTAAAAATGTTGCCGGAGAAAGTGTCATACGTTCAACTTTGGACATAATGGACCAGGGTTAATTAAAAATAGGGAATTTCATATGATAAAAGTTTTTCGTACTGAGGCGAAAGAATGGCATAAGAATTGTTTGGGTATTTATATTTGGGGTTGAGCCCATTACCTACGTGGGTGAGTGAGCCAAGTCAATTACCATAGAAAAGAGCCATTTTAGTCTAGCATTGTTGAGACAAGGCGCTTTACAGCTGCTACAGTACTGACAGCAACTGTTGTACGGGGAAAGTATAAGGGAGGAAAACTTTGAATGCCTGTAAAGACAAAGGGGATGTGGTATCCCAAGTAAGACATTCTAATGTCTAATGTTGAGAAAGCTGTTGGCGTACAAGCAGGGATGACAGCGTTGGCGCAGCTGGATTGGCGCTGCAGTGTTGGTAGGGCTGAGGTGGTTTAAACCTATGGCATTGGGCCTACTATATTGGGCTAGCTGATTGGGCCGGTCAAAACAACATACATCCATGGTGATTCTCAAAATATAAAATGGATCACGTAATTATATGGAGATATCTAGTTATCTATTTATCCCGCTTTATAAAATACATTATGCTAAGCCACTAGGTTTGGTCTGGAGGTGAAGGGTTTGGATTTATTGTATTAAGTTATGTATTTAATTCCCACTTGTGTCAAAAAAATAAAAAAAATTACACCAGTCAATGAAGCCCAAATCCAAGAAATTCTAACATGCTCGTTATTAGGCAATATTGATTAGAATTATTTATTTTGAAATTCGTTAGAGAATAATATAAACTATTAAAAAGGCCATCACCCAACACTTTAAGACTTTGGGTTGAAGTGATTCTTTACATGATATCAGAGTTTTAGTGACCATAAGGTCACGAGTTCAATCCTCACCGCCCCTCATTTGTGGAATTAAACAAACATAAGGTAAAACAAAAACAAAAATTGGGCATATGCAATATCCACGTTTCAAGCCCAAAGGGCTCTTACGTGATGGGGTGTGTTAGAGAATAATATAAATCATTAAAAAGGCATTTACCCAACGCAATTGGGAAAGACGCTGATTGACATATTCGGTCCCATTGTCGGACCTTAGCCTTTTAATTCTTTTACCAAATTGGGTCTTAATCATTTTATAAAATTGAAGGAATGATTGTGGTACCTCATATTTTCATGCATTATGTAAATCCAGGTTACACAAGTGCAATCATCAATAAAAAAACCATTTATTACCAGAAACATGAAGGACTTTAGGAGGATCCCAAACATCAAAATGAATAAGCTCAAAAAGATTCAACATTTTTAATAGTACTAGAAGAAAAAGATACACGATGGTGTTCTGCAAACTCGCAAAAATCACAATGGAAAAACTCGACAGACTTAGACAAAAACAATGACGGAAATAAAAGACTTAAGGAGACTAAATGAAGGATGTCTCAAGCGTTTATGATGAAGCCAAACCATATAATCAGTAGTAGACTGGCCATGAGTCAGCAAGATGTGATCCTTAACACCTTCACCGGAAGATTCTGGAACCAGATAGTACTAGGGTTGGCAAAAACGAGCCAACCCATCGTAACCCGCCAAAAATGAGTCGGGTTGGGTTGGTAAGAATGAGCTGCCAACCCGACCCGAGCCAGCTCGTGAAAAAACGAGCTAACCCGCGAGTCAAACGAGCCAGCTCGCGGGTTGAGGTTTTTTTTTATAAAAAAATACAAAATATAATATACAAAAATGGACAAAACTCACACATGCTGTCATCATTTTTCTTCTTTCTCTAAACCTAAGTCTTTAATCTTCTCACATCCATGCCATTTTTATATTGTTAGGCTGTGCTGGCACTGTTTGGTTCAAATATCTTACCCATTTGGTAGCAAGTGGTTCTGATTGTTTCTAGATGTTGATGCAAATTTTTTGTGAAGAAAATTCGAAAATAAAATATTTTGCTTTTATTTCTCATTTTGTAACCTTTGTTTAAGCTAATGAAAGCCACATAGCTGGTGCATTAATACTACAGGTCATTTAAATAGGCTAAAAACGAGCCAACCGGCGAGCAATTTACGAACCAACCCGCGAGCCAATTTTCGAGCCAACTCACGAGCTATTTTTTCAAGTCAACCCACGAGCCATATTTTTGAGCCAACCCTAACCCGACTCGGGTCGGGTTGGGTTGGGTTTTCTGGCTCGTTTTTTTTCGAGTCAACCCTAACCCGGCTCATTTTTTTCGGGTTGAATGTAGGTTGGGTTGGCCCGTTTTGCCAACCCTAGATAGTACAACCCACTTTGCTCCTTAGCTTCCCCAATCGTCTTTCCTGTGGCGAGATCCTGAAAAACACAGTGAGTGAGAAAGAAGGTTGCAGTGCAATTAAAATATTTGGTAATTTTATGGATAGAAAGAAGATTGATGGAGAGTTTAGGAACATGAAGAGCATTTTGGAGATGTAAAGAGGGCTGTTATGTTACCAGAACCCACAACTGATGTGAGTGAACCATCGGCTACAACTATTGTATGGGTGCCAACAGTAGGGTTAAAAGAAAAAACAGAGTCAACACAACAAGTCATATGATCAATAGCACCAGGATCAATAATCTAAGAATTTTTAAAATCAGTACAAGAAACAAGAAAATAATGAGTTGTGAAGCTCATACCAGTCATATCCGAAGCACTAGTACCAGATACAGATGTCTTACTCAGACAATCAAGTATAGTCCGAATCCGTTCCAACTCATCTCGACGTATAGAAGTAAATTCCGAAGATGCAGGTTGGATCTCATTAGGTGTAGTAGCCACACCGGAAGAAAGTAAACGAGCTTGACCACAAATTTTTTCCATCTTTTCCAAGATATTTTGCTTTCCATGGAGACGAAAGCATAGATCCTTGATAGAACCTGCCCTTCTACAATAGGAGCATCAACGATCATCTTTCTTGGTTCTAGAGGATACATTATCAGCAGCTTTAGTGAGAAGAGACATCCATTTTTTTTGAGAGCATAACAGACCCATTAATGGGTTTAGAAACAGTAACAACTTCAGAGGATGATAGCATGACAGACTTATCTGATGTGTTGGGGGAATCATAACTCCCCGATGAGTCTCCTCACCCCAAATAGTATTGAAAACAACAGAGATGGATGGTAATGTTTCTTTGTTAAGTATCTGAACTCGAATAAGATCATATTCGGAACTCAATCCAGCAAGAAAATAAAAAATACGCTCATCTTCGACTGCCTTGGCTAAGGCAGTAGCATCCACAGTATGTTGCATCTCTAAACTCTGAAATTGGTCAAGCTTAGTCCACAACTCCTTCAAAATAGCATAAGAAGCTATCATAGATAAGGAGTCTTGTTTAGTAGAAAAGATTGTATTGCGCAATTCATAACGCACAGCCATATCTTATTTCAAAGAGTAGGTTGAGCGGACAATTTCCTAAATCTCCTTAGCAGAAGACAAAAACATACAGTGACGACCCACTTCAGGAGTCATCGAGTTCCAAATCTGTTGGCGCGTGAGCGTCACTCGCAGAAGAAGAAGCGATGCATGGGAGCGCGTTGCTGGTCGGACAGAGTTGGTTTTTTTGCGGCAAGGTCGCAATCCTTATATGGTTGGTCGGAATCCAAACGGTCACCGGAACAATGCTCATCAGAGAAAAATAGTTGCAGTTTATGTGTTTTAATACGGTTTAGGTCGTAGGTTGATTGAGAACTCTCCGTAGAAGGATAGATCAGAAAAAAATAATTCCAATAATGGTCCTCTTGGTCCAAAAGGTCACCGTAATTTTTTTTGCGGTGGCGACAATAGGCAAAAAAAGTTCCCGTTCTAACGGTGGCAGATGCAGAAGTAGAGCCCTCAGAATCGAGAACTCTTATACCAAGTTGAAAAAAATTTATTTTATTTGATAAAGTTGTGTATTACAGCAGTGCAAGAGTTCTCTATTTAAAGAGACTAAATAACTTAATGGGTTAAGCTCAAAGAAGATTTTACAATGAAATTAAATAAATACAATTATTTACAACAATTTCCAAAAAAAAGTATATTGTTGGGCAGGACACTGAAGTGAGCTTGAAGTTTAACTTTGATTAATGTATTTTAAATATAAAATAAAGGGAATAATATTTCTTATGTTATAAGAAATAATTTTTGGGGAGGAGGCTGAACCTTTAGCCATCACTGTTCCCCCGCACTCCGGATTAGTCCCATAGCCGGCTCAAAGAGTCGAAGCTCGTGGGGATACCGGAGGGAGCCAACTCGTCTCAAAGAGATAATTAGGGTTGGGTAACTCCAAAAAAAAAAAAAAAAATTATTTTTTAGTTTTTACACACAAATAAAAGTATGTAGAGTTCATGTGGGGACATGTGAGAACAGGAGAGAAAGGAAAAAATGGGTCTCATATACTTTTATATGTGTATAGAAGATAAAATTATCTCCTATAATATGTAAAAATTATTTGCTAAAATAAATTAATCTAAATATTCAACAAAATAATTTAACTTTGATTGGCGGTTAATTGTTTTTCTTTTTTAAAATATTTCATAGTTAACCGTTTACAAAACTAAAATACAACGAAATATGAACACTTTACCAAGTTGTCATTAATAATAAAACCCCATCCTATATGTAGAGCAGTATAGAGTTACAATCAAGTACCAGACTATATAAGTGAATCAATATGTAACTCTATTTTCCCCTCGTTAACTATGTGATACACGAACCTCCCAAGTTAGCTGCATCAAGTAATGGTTTTTTCGGAACACTGATCAAAATGTCACTTTTCATCAAGTTTTTGACCTAAATACCACGCGAACAGTGTTATTTCACAATATGCTACGTGGGCAAATTTGCTGGGCACTGTAGCGAACTCTATTTGCTGACGTGTCATGTTTCTAGTGGATAGCAAGTACCAAGTAAAAAAAAAAAGTACCAAGTTCGCTACATTCATTGGGTAGCGAACTTGGTTGGAATATGTATTTCAACCAAGTTCGTTACCCCGTGTAGCAAACTTGTGTCCACTAAAAACGTGACACGTCAGCAAACTGAGTTTGTTACAGTGCCCAGCGAACTTGCCCACGTGACATATTGAGAAATAATACTGTTTGCATGGCATTTAGGTAAAAAACTTGATGAACAGTGACATTTTGGTCACTCTCGCAATTTTTTCCTACTAAAGTGAAACATGGATGATATTCAAGACACCCATCAAAATCTTTATTTCCTTGTTAAGTTATTATTTTATTTTGTTGAGATAACTACGAGAGAAAATCATGTCCGGAGCGGGTCCAAAATTAAAATTTTAAATCCCTCCCAAATATAACACTGAAAAATATCAAATACATACTCTCACCCCTGCTTGTCTTATGCTTATCATTTGGTTCCTTGTTAAGTTATTAAATCTTTTAATATTAGGTTTTATTTTATATTGGGCTGGGCCTGTGTTCTGTTAGAGGTCGTCAAAAACCAATGGCAAACCAGTAATTAAACTATCCCATAATGGCATTTTAGTAGTGCAAAAGCCCTGATACAATATATAGTGTCTCTCTTCATTCTCCCCAAACCCATCGACTGCGCAGAATTAGGGTTTTGGTGAGTGGCGACTTCTACTATTCCTCATGCAGCAGACAACAATGGCAGCGGATTCGCAAAAGATTGAACAGGTTCAGTGCTTCGGGCGGAAGAAGACGGCGGTGGCCGTCACCTACTGCAAGCGAGGGCGCGGTCTGATCAAGATCAACGGTTGTCCCATCGAGCTGGTTGAACCGGAGATCCTCCGGTTCAAGGCGTTCGAGCCGATCCTCCTCTTGGGGAAGAGCAGGTTCGCCGGCGTGGACATGAGGATCCGCGTCAAGGGCGGCGGTCACACCTCTCAGATTTACGCCATACGGCAGAGCATAGCGAAGGCACTCGTGGCGTTCTACCAGAAGTACGTCGATGAACAGAGCAAGAAGGAGATCAAGGACATCCTTGTCAGGTATGATCGTACCTTGCTTGTCGCTGATCCCAGGCGCTGTGAGCCCAAGAAGTTCGGTGGTCGTGGTGCTCGCGCTAGGTTCCAGAAGTCCTACCGTTGAGGTAGTTTTTCCGGAACGAGAAATGGAAAAAAAGAGAAAGCGACAAGATGTCTTTGGCGATTTACTTTGGTTTTCGGTTCATGTTTTATGCTGTGGAAAACTTTTGTTGTTGATTGGCAGTTTTATAATTTTTGCCTTATTTTAAATACGGGATCTTTTGCTATTTTAATCGAACTTGTTGTTTTAGTTCAAATGCAATTATGCGAGTATAACATAAATCTAGTTTATTTTTGCATTAAATGTAGAAACTTTTGTTATGCCTGCTGTTAAATTTGATTGCCAGTTCTTGTTCTAGGGATATGGGAAATCGTAACCCGATTCGGTTGTTAGTGTTATTCTTATGCAATTTAGCAAGATTTAATACTTGTGGGATTAAAAAATCATTACTTGAGTAAGATCAGACTGACTTTCTTCAAACATGGGATGTGCTAATGTATTCTAGGGCTATTATGAATTATAATGCCCTTGATGCAAAGTTCTTACTAGCACGATGTAAGGTCGTTAGTTGTGTATGTACTAGCGCAATCAGATAAAATTTGGCTGCGCAATGATACTATTTGTTTTGCTTCTCCTTACAAGTTTGTATTGGGCATTGATGTGGCTCTGCTAGAAAAATCTTAGTTTGTGTTTATCTCGGTATTTTAACTTCTGTCATAGTTTTTAGTCTGTATATAAATATGTTGAAGTTGGAATTGGAAGATGCCCATCTATGCCTCAAATTAAGATTGATATAAGTTGGGTTGTAATAGGGTTCTCTGTGATCCATGTATTCCCCTGAAAGTTAGAGGAGGGAGAATATGCGTGTATCTAATTAATTAATACAATGATACACTAATCCTACATATGGATGGTTGGTCTTAGCAGGTATCTAGGATTATTGACTGGCTAGGTAAATTTTTTGTTTGTGTTGTGAATTATTTGCCTTTCCTCCCATGTCCAACATGGGCAACTATGTGGGATGAGGGTATTAACTTTAGGGAAAACTTCAAAAAAAACCCTACGAGTTTTCTTAATTATCACTTACCCCCTTCACAATATTCTTGAATCATTTACACCCTTATTTAGATTTTTTTTATCATTTACCCCCTTGACTTAAAGTTTCTTTATCACTTACCCCCTTCACTTAGGGGGATAAATGATAAAAAAAATTTAAGTCAGGGAGTAAATGATTCAAAATTTTGGGAAGGGGGTAAATGATTATGAAGAAAGTGATAGGGTTTTTTTTGAAGTTTTCCCTTAACTTTATTGCGCTGAGTTCCCCTCCCCTAATCCAGCCAGGCAATTTTCTTTCCCTTCCAGCAACGGCTCTGCCATAGGTTTCTTTGTAGGTTCAATAAGATATCATTTATTTAATCATTGTGGCATCACACTTGAATTGATACTAATAGTTTAAAATATAATTAAAAGATTTAGGCTAGAACTATTTGAGAAGTATCGGATATGATACAATGTGTAGACTATTTTGAAGTTTTGGAGCTGCTTTTTGTTGGAATGAATAAGTTTTACAAGATCTTCAACTCAGCTTGAAGTTGTTATTTAAGCAATTGTGGGCATAGCTGTTGAGATTGAAACCGTATTTAAAATAGATCAGTCAAGAAGGGGGGAAGTGGATCATGATTCATGAAGGGGAGATTCACAGAAAAATATCGTTTTGAAATCATGAAAGGGCATTAGACCGGCAGATAAACAGTGTCTAAATAAGTAGCTGTAGAAGTGGTGAGGGTCTTGTGACATCGATGATGTTCATTTTGCGACGCACAATTAAATTTTTGCAAATTATAGTCTCTTCTCTTTCGTCTAATTTTTGCAAACTTCGCTCCTAACCTTTTCACCATTCTCTTTTATTTTCCATTCCCAATGATATGCCCTTTTTACTTAGAGGCCTGGCTGAAGTATTTAATTTGAAAGATATTAATATCTAACTGGTATTTATTATATAAATAGAACTGACAAATCATCTCAAATCATAAGCATTTAACACCAAAGCTGCTGATGTCTAACGTGCTGGTCATTTTGTAAGGAAATTGATGGTCTTGTAATCTCTACGCGTGGCTTGCTAAGCAAATTATTTTAAATTAGGGAGTGGTTATCCTCTCTATTCTTATTTTGCCTATTCCTTCATCTCAACACCGTTAAGTTATAATCTCATCTAAAGGTGGACATTTATCGCATAAAACAAAACCTTTTACCCATTTCTCTCTCCCATTGTTTGATTTTTTTTTCCCCTTTCATGGGATCTTCACAAACACCTTACTTTAAGAGGACAAATAAGAAGCTTACCCAGAAAAGAAAACACATTTCATCAACGACAAGGTGAGCAGAGAGAAAGGATGAGAGGTGGTGGAGTGAGAAAATGATCAATTTTTGAAATGCTTCTGAGTTACCAGAAGAAATTTTCACAAGGCTTGTCAAATTCGTCTCATCCTCCACGCTTGGGGAGGAGAGAAAAATGGTGAGAGAGAGAATAGGGTAAAAAGTTTTGTTTTATGTGGTAAATCTCCACTGAGATTATAATCTAATGGTGTTGAGAGGAATATGTAAGAGTAGGCAAATTAAGAGTAAGTAGAATAACTCCTCTCGCTAAAAATGAAGGTATTGATCATTCTCATCAAACTGCATTTTGATTTCATTCCATTATTTGAAACAAAAAGAATTACAAATTACATTTTCAATTTGGGAAGTTAAGGGTTCTTTACATTTTCATTTGGTGGTGTGCAATATTTGACATGTCATATAACTTTTCAGGGAAATTTCTTCTGTACATTGGATGTACTTGAAAATTTTTTCCCATTTGATTCATATCTTTGTAAGTATTTTCTATAAAATCTCAAATTTTTACTTGTATGGTACCAAAAAAGCACTCACTTTTCAGACTAGATGTGCATTATTCAATTGTATAAAGCAATATAGGGTAAGGCAGTCAAAACGTGGATTATTTTTATTTTTTTTGTCTGAGATGGAGAACAAATGCAGCTATGCAAGCAAAACTCTTTATATATATCACCACTGTTTAATCTCAAATACCAATAAAGCAACGTACATATGTACACCAGCAATATTTACAACAGAAAACCTCTCAATCTTGGAGTCTCAATTCTGAACATCAACCATCTCCAATCAAAGAAGCCTTGCCAAGCAATAAAAGATAAAAGCATGTTACACCAAATCTATCAGGCACTAAATAAATTCAAACATAATAAGATCCATAGCAGAAGCAGCTGAGTTTGACTTTCTCTGCAAGGCCATTCCTTAGTCATGCTTTGGCTAATAACTGGGTTCCCTTATTCTTCCCTTTCTTTCGTCTAAAAAGCAGCTTCCTCAGGAAACTAAAGCCTCCTTGTTTTTTACTTGGTACAATTGCCAGAGATCCTGTAGCATTGCTTTTATCATTTTGCTCCGAAGGGAGACTAGTTTCTGGAGCATCATTAACCATGATCTTAGGAGTTTGCAAAGAACTCTCACTTTCTTCAATTTGGATAGACTTATGAACCCCTATTTTAGAACCATCCTCGGCTTGCATTTGATTGCGTAGAGAGGATCGTTTGATCAAGTTCTTCTTCTGGTTTGGATTGGCCATAGTACCAGTTATAGAGACAACATTGTCAAAAATTGCTGCTTCACTAGATGAAGCAAGTGCCTTGAGTTGTTTCCCAAGGTTTAGGATGGTTTCTTGGCACTCCGCCAGTTTTGATGAAGCTGTTGTGATCTCCCAGCCCTGAAATTTTTTTTGTTGGGGTTCATTAACTAAGTGTTAACTTCAAAAGAATATAGAACTAAAATTGACAATGCAAAAAATTTATATGCCATTGCAACATACAGAGCGATAACTACTATTACCAAAGTCCAAAGCCAATAGCATGCATGGTATCAGATTTGCAATCATATATCTTGAATTAAGTAAGATGTAAAATACTCACAGTTTGATATATCTTTTCCACTTCGTATCTGCCATATGTTGGGGATTCCTTCTTTGCAATGCTGTTAATAAATTTTCATGTGCTCAATATCTGATTCATTAACCAGCAAAGAACCAGAAATAGAAACCAAAGAAGAGAAGGCAAAAATAAAAGTCATTACCTTTCCAGCTGGAGTTGAAGTTCAAGACATGTTGCTTCTAATTCCTCGCAGGAGTTCTTTTTATCCTCCAATTCAACTTCTAAGGACGAAAACTTTTGAAAGATGTTATTTAACTTGGCCTGAGCTATTGTAAGCTGTGTATCAAGATCTTCACTTATCAGCTTTTGTTTTTCAATCTGATCTTCAATTATTTCTTTGGATTCTTTCAGTGTCTCTACTTCTGATTCTAAACCTTTGATGCTATTTTGTGCTTCTTGACATTGTTTTGTCAAATTCTGACTCTCGTCAGTTACTGATAGCAGCTTTGCTTCCAAGTCTTTCTTCGCAGATTCTGTGTTCTTCAGATCATCTTTTAATTTTCTATTTTCTTCAAGGAGATCATACTGATTATTTTTTGTGTCGAAGAACACACCCTGATCATCTGGATCAGCAACTGAGGGTGTGTGAAAAGACTGCTTATCATCAATATCTATTTGGTTTTCATTTCCATTTTGTGAGAGATGACAGCTAAAATGCTTCTTGATCTTATCCCTTGCAATTGAAGCATTTGTGGAGGTGGCACAGTTATTAATGCTCCAATCTAAAGCAAATGCCACCTCCTCAATAAAATTTTCAAAATCAGCTCTCCCTGTTAATAAATCTTTGCAGGTGTGAACAAGTTGATGGAGAAGAGGATTCAAGTCCGAAACCTTCCATTGGAAAACATGAACAAAGTATTCTTTGGATACTGGTGATTGAGATACATCCGAATGTTGGTTCTCCTCCAAGCAATCTGGACAATTGTTGCAGATAAATGACTTGGGAGCAATTCCTTCAATGAGCTTGACAATTCTGTGGACTGACTTTCTCAAACTAGGTTGGTTGCTTTTTGCTTCTGCAAAACCACTGAAACTATTAACATAAAAAGAATCAGATTCTCCAAGATGCCTTGACTTTTGAATTGTATCAGATTTACAAGCAGTTGGGTGATTTATGCAACCCAAAGCAATTTTTATGTCGTCAAACAGTTCATCAAGGCTTCGTTTTGATATGCATTTCTCCTCCAAGATTGCATTCAAAACAATCTGAAGCCAGTCAAATGATTTTTCAGTTGTTGTATGTTTGAATTGGATCTCCTGTTTCCTCTCACTGAGGCCAAGATCTTGTTCAACTGGCACTAGCTCCCTCCCACTTATATCAGAGCCATATCCTCTTTTAGGTTTATCTACAGAAACTATTGCTCGTTTCTCCATCTCAACAAAATCATCCATGAAACTCATGTCAGGAACTTCAATGGCTTTACTGTTCCTGTGATTTTTAGCCTCCGCAGTTCTTAAATGTTCAAGTTCTGAAATAAGAGCATTTGCCCAGGATCCAGAAGAGATAGCCTCATCATCACTAGAAATGTCAAAATTTGGTATTAAAGGAAGATCGTTTGATGTAGGACAACACCTTGCTAGCTCCATGGACTTCTGATTTTCAGATAACTTTCTAAGAAGAATCTCAGCCTGTGATAATCTGGAAACTGTTTCAGCATACATAAATCTTGAAGAATCAAGTTCAGAGTTTTTCTTTGTTAAAATTCTTTTGAGAGCCTTGTTCTCTTCATCCAGATCTTGTAAACGTTTGATCATCAAGCTGATACTCTTTTGGGATACTTCAGTAGAGTTTCCAATATCATTGGTTTTGCAAATCAAATCTCTGGCAGGATTTGACTTCCTTCTCCTCATATCTGTCTCTCTTCTCATCATTCCAACTTCATTCTTCATATTCCCCAAACCCGCAGGACCAGGTGATTTTTTTTGCAGCAGGAGACGAAGTTTCTGACACTCAGCTTCTAACTTTGAGGCTTTCTGAGAACTCTCAAGATACTGTTTATGTGATACATCTGCATACTGACGGCTATACTCCATCTCCTCCTTCCGGATCTCGAGTTCCTTCTCAAGCATGTGAAACTCATATCTTAGGAAAGCATTTTCCTTTTCTGTGGAATCTAACCTAGCCATCAGTGTACTAAACTCTGCATCTGCTTCTTGTTTACATCTAAAAAGGTCCCCAATAGATTTCTCTTTGGCTAGTAAGGCATTAGTCAGATGAGTATTCTCAGCAGTTAAGTACTCTATCCTTTTGCTTGTTTCCCTCAACTTCTCTTCCAATTCTTTCTGAATCTTCTCATGCTCTTTTGATATCTTTGGAATGGTACCACACAACCTTTGTTCTTGTTCTTCTTGAGCACAGCTTGGTGGCGGCTGCAAAGGTTCCTGCAATGTTGCATATGTAGGAGTAACAGTTTCAGCAGATTCTACTTCTTGTCTTGCCTTGTCCTTGCCTAGATTTATATCAGAAATATTTTGGGATAAGCCAAAATCAAATTGTATGCCCAAAAAAACGAAAGATAAGAGTGTGCGCAGAAAAAAAAAACGCAAAAGAGGAATCTCCAAAAGAAGCACCATAATAGTGGGAAAAGTTGAAGGGACATGTAACAGTGAGATACCTCTAATTTCCTGTTGGGACATTTGGGCATGTTTTGCTAAAGGGTCGTGTTCAGCATGAGAATCAAGGAGGACTGTTGCCAACTTCTCATTTAGACTTTTTGATGATCTTTCTGATCCAGTTTCCTTATCTTTTGGAAGTTTGTGTACCTGATAAAATGTAGTACTGTCTGTTTATTGATCAGGTTGAACATTTCTCTTATGAATTCAGTTCTAGAATGTAAGAGGATTATAATAGTTCAACACTTTGGCAAAACTTAGTAGAGGTAATAGCTTAACTGGTTTCTGGACAAGAGAATGAGGAAAGCAAAGAGCAGCGTATAAAAATGAGTAAAATAAAGGTTTGAGTACCTCTTCTTCAATGATTCTAGAAGGGCTGACAGCTTTGTCCATTGCAAATATTGTCTTCTCCATAGATTTTTTCCTCCAAAGCCATGGCTTTTGGTTCATGATTTCAGGTACTACTCAAGAACAAAAAGAGAAAACTTCATGCTATTGTACAATAATTATCAGTAAGGAGAACTTCTTTTTCCTACATTAGTTTCTCTATTTGGTCGTAAAAAATTTCAATGAGTAACCAGAAAAAAAAAAAAACTAAACAAAAAACAAAAAACTAAACCAAAGAAATACAGGTACAGGCTACAGAATCATGAATTTCAAAGTCCACTGGACTCATTTATAATTTGATCTTAAGCGAGAAATAGTTCACTATTAATAGTTTTACCAACACCTTATTAACCATTTGAAGCATTTTGGAAGCTCATCCTCTATGGTTAACCTTTTGTCCGGATGAAGTGGAATCTAGCTTTGTTGTAAATACTTTATAACAAACATAAGTTATTGATCTTTGTTCATGTTAATTTCCTGAAAAGTAAGAGGAACGACCAGTGAAATCTGAAACTCAATAGCCATTGCTCTTTTTTCTTTTGCTGAAATTCAAACTCAGTAGATAATGCTGAACTGTCAAAATGGATAAGGAATCATGAACATGTGAATAAACTTTAACATAAACATAGAAACAGAAAATTCCCAAAATAAGAACGACGCATGGGGGAGCATGAATAATTGTATAAAACTACAGCTGACACTAGATGTAAACTCATATTCATCCTTTAAACCTCGAATTCCTGGGGACCAATGCATACAAGTTTTCACGCATCAATGCTTCTTCAATAAGTTATGGCTATATTTATTAGTATGTTGCAGTTCAATTGAAACATAAGAGTTTGTTTACTTCAAACTTCTAAAGCTTGTAATTACCTTTAAAAAGAAAAAAGAAAATTCTAAAGCTTATGCTTCAGATGATTAGTCCTGTAGCTAATGAAGTGCCTAACATGGAAAACGCTGCTTTATGGCTTTACCTTTCCAAATCCTCTTCAGTCTGCATCCTTGACTATCATATACTCAAATTATTGTTTTTAAAAAAATAGAGATTATATATATTTTCTACTTACTTAGCTTTTGTTTTGCATTACACCAAATAAAAACAAAAAACATACATAGAAAAAAAATAATAAAAAATTCTTATCTATATATCTGCGGGAACAGTGTTTAGTTTAGTCTTTCCATATAGTCGTACTCCTATGTGAATGCTCTTCAAAAGGGTAACCGTAACCAGTGTTCATGGATGGAATGGCAGAAGCAAACAGTATATAGCTCTCAAAAGAAAGAAGGGAACAAACTACGCCCCAAAACTCTTTGCTATAAGGCAAAATCTTTCACCAAGCTGAAAATCTAGAGTTACCAACATATTCTTTAGTTGTATGTTAAAATATAACAGCAGGCAATGTACCGAGGATGAAAAAGCATCGAAAACCACCAGCCAGAACCAGAAAATATATTAAGATAATGAGAACAATGGTAACGGAAGAGAAAAAAGTACAAGGTCAAATGCACTAAGAGGAGTTGCAAGTGCAGACTGCTAGTGCTCGTACCTGGCAAAATGTAGCATCAACTCAACAAGACTTAAACAAAGTATTGTAAGGTTATGGCCACCAATGGAACTTGGAGGTGAAAGTAAAACAAATGGCAGATAAGTTATGAGATAAACTCCCAACGAATATTTGTCATAGGATGCCTTCACCGACAGCTAAAAATCCCAGTTTGGCTATGTATATAATGGGATTAATGTTTCTAAATAACGTAATTTTATTTCTTACACACGTGATAATAAAGATATGCGGGATTTTTTTCCTATTCTTTTTATACGGATCTCATATACTTTTATACAGAGAAAACAGTCATCGGAGATAAAGTTATCTCTAATGGGCTGAGATTATAAGATTAAAAAATTATAATGATAAAGACTAAAATAACCCTGCAATATATTATAATTACAAAATCACCTTGATTTTCGCTCCAAAACAAGGTCGTTTTTGGCTCACTAGAGATAACTTATCTCCATTAACTGAAAAAATCTTCTTCTTTTTTTTTGAAGTTACCCAACTCTAATTATCTCTTTGAGACGATTGGCTCCCTCCGGTATCCCCACGAGCTTCGACTCTTTGAGCCGGCTATGGGACTAATCCGGAGTGCGGGGGAACAGTGATGGCTAAAGGTTCAGCCTCCTCCCCAAGAACGCATTCAGCGATAATCGAACACATATCCAACCCCACTAACTCAGCGCCAAGTTACCAACTGAGCTGCACTCATTGGGTACTGGAAAAATCCTTTACCCTTATATATATATACAAAAAAATAAAATTATCTAGTATAATATATGAGAAATACTAATATTATATAGGAAAATACATACATAAGGTAACATTACAGAAAACAAATTTCTTACTGACTCATTGAGTAGGTCCACTCAAATTTGTTTGTGCAGGAAAAAGTTTTATTATCTTGTTACATGACATATATATTTTTCAATTATATATGATCCTATTAAAAAATTAGAATTAATATTTTTTATATTATAAGAAATAATTTTATTTTTTATACATATATAAAAATATGTAAGCTCCATGTGGAGCCACATAAAAAATAAAAAATAAACATATACTTTTCATATGCTCATGAGAAATATTAAAAAGTTTCATATATGATTTGATGTTTAAAAAAAAAAAAATTATTGACAAATGAATGTATGGTGGGGTGAAAGAAAAGCAACGGTAACGAAAAGAAGAAGCGATCAAATTGACCACAGCTGGTAGAGGAGAGTAGTCATAAAGTACACAGAGTTGGGAAAGAAGAAAAAAGCGACCCCCACCCTCACACATTGAATGTTATAGCTTTCTGTTAAATGATGATGAGGTTGGTATGAAGCTACTGGCTATTAATGCCACATTTCAAGAAATTCTTATACATAATTTATATTTATTATGTGTATTCAACAATAATTACAAATATATTTTGTGAGGTTGGCCTTTTTTTCTATATTTAGTTTATAGATGACAAAGCAAAAGTTTACATTAATAATGAATCAGCTTAACTCTTTATATGGGGTTACAATAAATTTGCAAAGTGAATATAATGTAAATTTATACAAGAAATTATTATGTATGTCAGTGAAATGTGCTAAAATTGTAGAATGCTATTGAGTATGTAGAGAGTCAAATTTGGAGAATGCTATGGAAACACCACTCCATGAAGTGCGTGGTCAGAAGAATTGTGTATTTATCATATCATTATAGCCTATAAAGAATGATGTTGTCTGGTATGTTTGTCTTGTTGGTGGCTATATTATAAGAGTTTCAAGGACAGAAAGTCAGAAATAAAATTTCTACGCACATATTGAGATATCTATCACATTTGGGGCATGTTGAGGCACGAGAGAATCAATATTTTTTTTAAAAATATTTAAGTGTGAGGGGTGGTGATATCCTACATCTATTAAAAATGAATTAATTGAGAAGTATATAAGTATGGAAGACCCATAAATTTATCATCTTAATATTTTGGGTTAAGATGTGATATCACTTTATTTATTGTGGTTTTTAGTCTATAGGTGGAAGTATCCCTTGCAAAAGATTTTAGATTCTAAGGAGTGTTTATCAACTGATCCAAACTGATTCAAATCGCGGTGATTGAATCGAAAATCGATAACCGGATTTTTTTTTGCATATATTAACTGGATTGGATCGATTTTCAGTTTGGTTGGTTAAAACTGATTCAATCCAAACCGATTCAATGTATTATGTATTTGTTATTTTTGAAAAAACAGTGACTTGAAATCTTGGATGTTATTGATAACAAACTATTTAGTTTTAGTTTTTCTATTATATATTAACATATTTTAACTTTGTCTTAAGACTTGTTTTAATTTGAAGACTTGAATTTTTTCAATGGTTTGTAACTTTGTATACTTTTTTTTTTTTATATAACTAGTGATTTGTATAGCTAAAATTTTAGACTTTTTAAAAAATCAAAAACTGTTTCAATCTAAACCAAATAAAATTGAAGTGGATTGGATTGGATTTTAAAAAATTCAAACTAAATGGATAATTAAATAATTAAATCGAAGAAATTGAATTGGATAATTTTTGCTTCAAAACCGATCAAATTCAGCCTGCGAACACAACTGTACAATCAAAATCTAAACATTTTTTTCATGGAATACATGGAAGTATTCTCCCTAAAACTTAACACACGCTATCAAACTCGAAACTTTTTTTTTGGATACTTATAATCTACAAACTCAAACCTTTAATCATTAAAGATCTAGGAGAATATTAATGATCTACATAAATGCTTTTTCTTTTCCTTTGATTTATGGACGAGACCCACCGCTAACAGTAACACATTTACCCGTTTCAACAGTAAGAAGAACAGAAGTAAAAGGAGAACAAGCAATTGTCTCCAATTAAACGTTTTTTGAGTTGACAATGGACCAACCATTTCTCGTTTCTAGTTGTGAACTAAACTGATGGTAGAATTGTTACCTACTTCCAATAAAAACCCTTTGCATGATTGTTTTACTAGACGTAGTTAAATATTTCACTGTTGATTTAATGATTTTCTAACGTTACGTTTCTTTGGAAGATGCCCGCACATCACCTTCCAATAAATCAGCTTTAATAAAAGTGGAGACCATAATGCAATCATACTTTTGACTTTGAAAACCATGAAGTGCTTACTTTATCGCAAAAGGGTTTTTGTTTATCATTTTCTTTTTGCAAAGAGGAAAGATAAAGGAAATTATGGTGCAGGAACTGTGTGTTTCCCAGACAATGACTTGTTTAACCACTCGGTGGGGTAGCATAGGGTGATAATTATTAGATGAAATGGCGATGCAAATCTTATACCTTACAAGCATGATTTTTAAGTTAACTTTGTTTGATTTCATGACATTTGATCTATGTTGCACCGATATCAATATGAGACACAACACGATATGGCGACATATTAATTCTGAAAAATATTAGATTTTGACATTTTAGGACATATTTTGATATTAAATAATATTTTTAATATATATAATATAATTTTATATTTAATACATATAGCAGCTCATAATAAATTATATAATCAATTAAATATTCATATTTCATAACATAAACATAAAGAAAAAATAATTTTTGGCGCCTTATTAATTTTTCAGGTCAAAATTCATAACAAAAAAATATTTAATTTACAAATTAATTTTTCATGTTTAGTTAAAAGGATAAAAAAAAAAAAAAATTATAAAAAAAAATGTCAAAAAATATTGACTGCATATGGAAAGCGTGTCAAAACATTAACCACGTGTCAGAAAATATTAAACGTGTCAAAATATGTCGATATCCGACACATGTCCCCAACGGCAGACCCACTTGGTTGCACTTGTCTGCATTTGCAGACACAAACTTGGGGAAATTCTTTTTTTTTACATAGGTTTGTAAAAAAAAAATAGGAAAATTGAAAGAAAACAAATAAAGATGGGCCCAATCCAACCAATCCCTATAATTAAAAACTTAAAGTTTAAACCCTAACTCATTGCTTTGTCTGTTTTTTTTATTTAAACATAATTCTTATTAGCTCTAAATCTTAATAGACATCAACGATTCCTGAAATTCCATCTTCATCTAGTGGAGGAGAATCACACGTGATTTTTCATGTTTTTTTGTGAAGCAAAAGTGACCAATTTTGGATCAAATAGACATCGACAGAGGTGAATTTTTGATCGATTAATCCCTACAATTATACTATATTTTACAAATATTTTTTTGTGGTGTTTTTTTTAATTATCATTATCAATTATTTATTTAAATTTTTGGTTGATTCGCCAAAATTTTTCTTTTGAAGTAAAAGCAAAACTTGGATCATGATCATAATCTTAAAAAAAAAATCAAGTGTGCTGCCCCCGTCTTAAATATGCAAACATAAAAAAAAAATTCCCTGCTACTACATGTCCCCCACACATTTTTATTTTTTTCCTTTCAAAGAGCGTTTCCGTGCATCATAGCATTTGACAATGTGCAGCCTTGTAATATCATTCAACAGTTTAGGACGGAGGAGATTGGGTTGACATAATGGGTCAATGAACGGCTGTGATTGCATTTGGGCCCTGGAAGCACGAGCAAAACAAGAACAAAAATGGGTCGAGTTTAATCGATTGGGCTTATAAAAAACATATGAGTTTGGTCAACAAAATTAAAAATCATTGGCTTGGCTTCTCGTGGCCCATAGTGGATTAGATTGATCTAATTTTCAATATGTCATAATTAATTACTGTAATTTTTAAAATTTTATTTTATAAGTTTACTTAAATGTTGTTTTAAACTATATATTTATTTATTTTAAATAATGATTAAGTTTTAATCTGGTAATACATATCAATTTAAGTTATTTATATGTATTTTAATTATGTATAAAAATGTACTTTAATTAAATAAATTATTCAAAATTAGTATTTCTGAACTTAATTTTTTTTTTTTAATTGTAGAATAACAGAATAATTTTTTTTTTTTGGTAAGCTAGAATAACTTAAATAAAATGTAAGTTTAGTTTTAGTTTTAGTTTTCAGTTCAAGTTTAGTTTTAGTTTATTAATTCGTTAGTTGAGTTCATTAAATTACTAGACCGGTTCATATGTCACTTTAAAAATTCAAAAAAGATAGTATTTTTTAATTTTATTATTATATTTGTTATGTTTTGAATGATCAAAATAGGATATAAAAATATATTTAAATATGTTATCAAAAAACTTAAAGACGAATAATAATATTTTTTCAAAAACATATTTACAAATAAAACTTGGAACAACTTACTAACAGATCTAAACTTACTTGGAACTAATGTCTCGCACCACAGTGGTGAATTTATAAGCTGTCGCAATCGTTAATAATAGCACCACTGAAATTAAAGAGATTGAGGAACAGGCACAACCAATAAGCATAACAGCCACCACATGACAAGATCAAACGGTTCCACGTCATCCAAAAACCCACATGACCATATACGTCACCAACACCAACGCACTCGCGTAATATAAATCACCGAACGAGGGCAATCCCGGAAAATTAAAAAGTCCTCGGGGCAATCTCCGGTCACCTTCCCATATCTCTCATCTTCTCTCTCTCTCTCTCTCTCTCTCTCTTTCTTTCTCTAACCTTCTGATTTCAACATACACCGACTCGGTCCCTGACCCGCTCTGAGTCACCACCGATTCGGTCCCCCGCCGGTTCGGTTCAAACCCGTCATGGAGATCGCTCACGAGCCACCGCCTTCTCTCGACGGAAGCCCCACCGCCGCCTCCTCCTCCGCTTCGTGGCCTCGCGGTTTGAATGGAAAGGAGATTGAATCGACCGCGTCGCCGGCTGCTCCGCCGGTCAAGTACGACGATGAGGAGGAGGAGGAAGAGGACGTGTGTCGGATTTGCCGGAACCCTGGCGACGCCGAGAATCCCCTCCGGTATCCTTGCGCGTGTAGCGGGAGTATCAAATTTGTGCATCAGGATTGTCTCCTTCAGTGGCTTAATCACAGCAACGCTCGCCAATGCGAGGTTTTGCCTTCCTTCCCCATCTTTGCCCTATATTTTCGTCGTTGTTCATGTGCATAGAACTGAAACGTGCTTATAGTTCGTTGTTTTGGTTGATCGTTTGGAATATTCAGCATAAATTAGCATATTTTTATTAATTTTCTGATCCAAAACTTTTATATCTGGAACCTATTCTTTTGTAAATGGACGTGGTAATAGTTCGTTTATCATGAATTGGCATATATCTATTAGTGCTTCTATTTGATGAATGAAGCTATGTCTTACCTGAACTTGAGCTCATATCAGTTGTCTAGTGATTAAGATAAAGATCAGAAATTTCCTTATCGGTTGCTAAGCATAATGGAAACAAAAGTAGGCGCTATCTATTGGTCGCCTTACTCTCTTCAGATTGTGTTGTAATATATTGCAACAGCTCATGATGAAAACTATGAGTTGGTGAGGCCAAGCAATCTTCTAAAGCAGCTCAATATTGTCATGAAAACGAGCAATTTTAAACTTGACAGTGGAAATTAAAAAAGAAGAAAAATAAAAACAACACTTGGTCATACAAGAGCTATTGTATATTTTCTTTTTAAAGTCCCCCCCCCCCCCCCTCTCTTTTTTTTTTTTTTTTCTAATGTACTCGTCATACTTCTCTTTGGTTGGGACCTTTTCCTTAATGTGCACATGCACTGCAGGTCTGCAAGCACGCGTTCTCCTTCTCACCTGTTTATGCTGAGAATGCGCCCACTAGGTTACCTTTTCAAGAGTTTGTGGTTGGAATGGGAATGAAAGCTTGCCATGTTCTGCAATTCTTTTTGCGTCTGAGTTTTGTCCTATCTGTGTGGCTCTTAATTATACCTTTCATAACATTCTGGATATGGCGATTAGCTTTTGTAAGGAGTTTCGGTGAAGCCCAGAGGTTATTCTTAAGTCATTTATCGACAGCAGTTATTCTGACTGATTGCCTCCATGGTTTCCTACTTTCTGCAAGCATTGTCTTCATTTTTCTGGGGGCCACTTCTTTGAGAGATTACTTTAGGCATTTGCGAGAAATTGGGGGACAGGATGCTGATAGAGAAGATGAAGTGGACAGAAATGGTGCTCGGATGGCTAGAAGACCTCCTGGACAAGCTAATCGCAATATTATTGGTGATGGGAATGGTGAAGATGCTGGTGGAGCACAGGGAATTGCAGGGGCAGGTCAAGTAATTAGAAGAAATGCTGAAAATGTTGCTGCACGGTGGGAGATTCAAGCAGCACGGCTTGAGGCTCATGTTGAGCAGATGTTTGATGGTCTGGATGATGCTGATGGAGCCGAAGATGTACCCTTTGATGAACTAGTTGGCATGCAGGGTCCAGTTTTTCATTTGGTTGAAAATGCATTTACTGTAAGTCCATCAAATTAATTTATTTATGTTTGTTATTGGTTTATTACAATGTTACTGGTCTTGTTAATGCTTTTCTTCATAAAAAATGGTCAAGCTGATCTTGGTAAAACCAAGCTCATCAAGGCATACTACTTTCTGGCTACGCTCTGTTATATGTCAATAATCATCTAATCCTGGCTCTTGCTGCTAGTTTAAACGTAAAATGGGCTTTGTTGTTATATGGGCTTCATTTGGATGAGCATACAACTGCAATAAGAACTTATGAAATACTTTGGTCCTGTTTGGATGAGCATATTGAAATAGCTTTTGACACCCACATAAGCTGTTTTGAGCTTATTTCATAAGCTAGAAATTTAACTTGATGAGAACAAGCATTTGTAAAAGCTAAAATCAGCTAAGGCAGTAGCTTATTTTTTATTTTTTTTATTTAGTTAACCTTAGTAAATTACCAATTCCATTTTTCGATAAGTGCTTCTCAAAGTGTCTTTATAAACATCATTAAGCTTATTTTAGATTGCATTTATGGCAGTAGAAAAGCTCAGATCTACTTTCTACTCAGTAAGTTATTATTTACGTGGTGTACCCAAATATGATCTTGGTCTGCTTCTTTGGGCGATGGATCTGATGCATTCTTGACTAATGTACTTCTTTCATTCCATGTGCATGGAAAGATGGCATATAATATAAACTGATGATTAGTTTCATTTTTAGATAATTATTCAATACTTGTTCTTATAAAACTTCAGCTAGGGGCTTGTAGTTGCATTAACCAATGTTTCGTTCTCTTGAAATTGATTGTGGGCTGAGTTTCATCGTTAACCAAATTCTTATGAGTATTCTTCCTATGTTAATTGGTCATCTATTGATACATCTGCTTCTTTTATAATGTAAATTGTATTATCATTAACCAAAGCATGAGTGTTTGTCTGTGAGATCATTTTACCATGTTAATTGGTCATTCTACTGACATATTCGAATATTGTGAAGAAGCCATAGATGAGGGGGAGAGAGAGAGTTTGAGGAATCTGAATCTGTATATTGTGATGACGAATCAAGATACAAGGCACTCTAATATAGAGTGAGATAGCTGACTCAGCTAATGAGTCAGATTTAACAAACTAACAGACCTGAAAACTAACACAGAAATAATCTGATACACCCAACACACTAAGCAAATGCTACTACAGTTTCAGCAACAAAATAAGCAAAGAAGCTATACATATACATCTGTTGAGATATATATTCCCACATTGGTTGTATGTGCAACTAATGTAGAGTTTATAAGGCCTTGGGCACTCCCACCCTTTGAGCTAGCTTTTGGGGTAGTGACCTCAAGGTTCTTTACATGGTTTCAGAGCCTCGTTGCCCCCCACTTTCTCTTGTGGCGTTTCTTAGCACAGGTAGGCTGGGCCTGTTGCATTGTCCACTCTTTAAGCCCAATGGGCTCTTGTGTGAGGGGGCGTGTTGAGATATATAGTCTCACATTGGTTGTATGTGCAACTAATGTGGAGTTTATAAGGCCTTGGGCACTCTCACCCCTTGAGCTAGCTTTTGGGGTGGTGTATCCCAAGGTTCTTTACAGATGTTGAATTTCTGTTCGATCTTGAAGAAGTTGGAGCGTTGTTGCCAGATGAAGCACTGTTGTCAGATTCTGACGCGGAAGACAATGAGGTGCGAAAATGGATCAGGCCCTCACAATGAGAGCTCTGATACCATATTTGAATACTGTGAAGAAGCCATAGATGAGGGAGAGAGAGAGAGAGAGAGAATTTGAGGAATCTGAATCTGTATATTGTGATGATGAATCAAGATACAAGGCACTCTAAAATATAGTGAGATAGCTGACTGAGCTAATGAGTCAGATCTAACAAACTAACAGAAAAATAATTTGATACACCCAATACACTAAGCAAATGCTACTATAGTTATTTACAAAAAAAAAATGCTACTATAGTTACAGCAACACAATAAGCAAAGAAGCTGTACATATACATCGATTATGACAAAACAACTTCTTATGTTTTGTAAATTGTAAGTTTTTCTGATCAACTTTGTATGAAAAAACTAAATATTTTTTTTTCTCTTTGATGAAATAAATTTTTTATTTACCACATTTCTTATTTAGTAACAGAATGATTTGTTATCTATGCAGGTTCTGGCAAGCAATATGATTTTCCTCGGTGTCGTAATCTTTGTGCCTTTCTCATTGGGCCGCATCATACTCCATTATCTATCCTGGTTCTTCTCAACTGCCAGTGGTCCTGTGTTGTCAGCTATGGTCCCACTTACCGATGCATCTCTCTCCCTAGCAAATATTACTTTAAAAAATGCATTAATGGCTGTTAAAAATTTGTCATCTGATACTCAGGAAAGTGGATCAATTGGGCAGGTTGCAGAAGAAATGCTGAAAGTGAATGCAAGTGGATTGAGTGAAATGTCAAACAACGTAAGTGCATCTGTTTCAGCTGATCTCTTGAAAGGAGGGTTAATTGGAACTTCAAGGCTTTCTGATGTTACTACTCTAGCTATTGGATATATTTTCATATTGGCTCTAATTTTCTGCTACTTCGGCATTGTTGCTTTAATTCGTTACACAAGGGGTGAGCCTTTGACTATAGGAAGGTTCTATGGTATCGCTTCTATAGTAGAGACAATTCCATCTCTCTTCAGGCAGTCTTTGGCAGCAATGAGGCATTTGATGACCATGGTTAAGGTTGCTTTTCTTTTAGTCATTGAACTCGGGGTATTTCCTTTGATGTGTGGGTGGTGGCTCGATGTTTGTACCATACAGATGTTTGGGAAGACAATGGTTCACAGAGTTCAGTTCTTCTCTGCATCTCCTTTGGCAAGCTCATTGGTTCATTGGGTTGTAGGGATTGTGTACATGTTACAAATTAGCATATTTGTCAGCCTTCTTAGAGGGGTAACTTCTTGTCACATTATATGATTTTTTAAAGCTCTGGTTATATTTTTATCCACCTTTTCTCATGCTTTATTTGTTTCCTATGGCAGGTTTTGCGTAATGGAGTTTTGTACTTCCTTCGGGATCCTGCTGATCCACACTACAATCCATTTCGTGACCTGATAGATGATCCTGTGCACAAACACGCTCGCAGGGTTCTGTTATCTGTTGCAGTTTATGGGAGTTTGATTGTGATGCTGGTATTTTTGCCTGTCAAACTTGCCATGCGGATGGCACCTTCCATTTTCCCACTTGATATAGCGTAAGCTGGCCTCTTAAACAATTTTAATAATTGCCACACAATATGTAGAACTATGTCACTGTTGTTGATTTTGAATATGGATATTTATGCAGGGTATCTGATCCATTCACCGAAATTCCAGCTGACATGCTTCTCTTTCAGATCTGTATCCCGTTTGCTATTGAGCATTTTAAATTGAGGACAACTATTAAATCCGTACTTCGCTATTGGTTTACGGCAGTTGGTTGGGCACTTGGTTTAACCGATTTCTTACTGCCTAGACCTGATGACAATGGTAATCAAGAAAATGGAAACGGGGAGCCAGCTAGGCAGGAAAGGCTACAGGTAGTACAAGCAGGGGTGCATGATCAGGGTATGGTGCCATTTGCAGGAGATGATTTGAACAGGGTCATTAATGCTGTGGGAGAACTAAATGCTGAAGAGGATTATGATAATGACGAACAATCTGATTCTGAGTAAGTTACTTACACATTGAAATCCTACAACTGTGATGGATGAATTATCCAATATTGCACTTCTTTCTATTTATCTAGTTATATTATGCTTTTCTCTTTGGGATAGAGGGTGAAGGCAGGACCAGGTCTGTGGTTTCATGGTTTTTTGGCTTTGCATAATGCAATGAATGAAAAATATAGCTGGAGTCATTAGTTTCTTTCTATAGCATGTTTTAGCTATTTTTACTCTGTCACCATCTGATCGCATATTTGCTACGACTATAGCAGCTATGCCTTCGTGCTTCGGATTGTTCTTTTGCTGGTGATTGCTTGGATGACTCTCCTTGTCTTCAACTCTGCCCTGATAGTTGTACCAATTTCACTTGGAAGGGCACTTTTCAATTCTATTCCTCGTCTTCCCATAACTCATGGCATTAAGTGCAATGGTATGTTATCGATTGACCTAGTTTCTTTTGTCATTGGGCTTCGTAACTTTTAGTGTGTTTGTAATCTTATTTCTTTTGTTAGATCTGTATGCATTCATCATTGGAAGCTATGTGATCTGGACTGCTGTTGCTGGAGTTAGATACTCAATTGAGCAAATTAGAAAAAGGAGGGCTTCAGTTTTGTTGAACCAAGTATCGAAGTGGTGTGCCATTGTTATGAAGAGTTCTGCACTTTTGTCTATATGGGTAAGGATGATTCTGGTTACTGGTCCTGTTACAGAATCTGACCTTTCAATTATGCATAGGGTTGTATTTGCTTTTAAATGATAAACCTTTTTTTGGGTTCCAGATATTTGTTATCCCAGTGCTGATTGGGCTTCTCTTTGAGCTTTTGGTTATTGTACCAATGAGAGTTCCGGTGGATGAAAGTCCAGTATTCCTCCTTTATCAAGATTGGGCATTAGGCCTTATATTTCTCAAGATATGGACTAGATTGGTGAGCTTGTTTCCTTTTTTTATCAGCATTTCCTCTGTTAGTCTTTTGTTGGTTGGCTTTAATTTTTTGTATAAAACTTTTATCAGCTTATTCAAATGCTCCAAGATATATAAATAAATTATAAATGGTGTGATGTTTTCATTGACCCATGTCATAAAGAATCACAAATTTTTATGTTGGCTGCTGACTACCTTACCCAACCCTGCTCTTTTATCTGGAATTCGGACCGGTTTTGTAAAGATGGACAACAAAGCATGATATAGGCAATATATAACCCCAATGGCATTGTTTGGTCCATTTAGCCAACCCCATGTGGGGGGATTATTGATAAGGCTTGGTTATTGTAATCCTATAGTATGTTCCTTCATTCTTCTAGTAGGATATTTCTTTTTTCTTTCTTTGTTTACATCAAGCGGTATAGTGGATTCTTTTGGGGATCAAATTGGCAAGGTTTGATGAATAATGAATTATGATTTGTTATAGATCATTAGAAGTTGCCTGATTGGATATAAATGAATTTTATTAGAAGGCAAAGTCTCACTGAGTTCACTACTTGGATTTGCATTAAAAGAAAAAAAGTGTTGTGCTTATTTTGTTATTAACTTCTTTGACTTGTGTCGTCTCTGTAAATGGGTTGCTTGTCTCCCCAAGGTTTGTTATATAATTGAGTTCGCTGTATTCATTTACGGTTTTTCAAATGTTGACTTTGTTCTTTGATTAGGTTATGTTGGACCACATAATGCCTCTCATGGATGAAACTTGGCGAGTAAAATTTGAGAGGGTGAGAGAGGATGGTTTCTCAAGGCTGCAAGGTCTTTGGGTTCTTCGGGAGATTGTACTTCCAATCATAATGAAACTATTGACAGCATTGTGTGTACCTTACGTTTTGGCCAGAGGTGTGTTTCCAGTGCTTGGGTACCCCTTGGTGGTCAATTCCGCAGTGTATCGGTTTGCCTGGTTGGGATGCCTGTGTTTCAGTTTCTTATGCTTTTGTGCCAAGAGATTTCATCTCTGGTTCACAAATCTCCATAATTCAATACGTGATGACCGGTATCTGATTGGACGGAGGTTGCATAACTTCGGGGAACATGTTGAGAAGGAAAATGAAGCAGGAAATCCTATAGGGCTGCAAGATGCTATTTTACTAGGTTCAAGTTTAATTCAACAAGATCGTGAAGCAGATGCTGGACTACGGTTGAGGCGATTAAATCAACAAGCTGGCTGAGTAGGATGGATGGATACTGTAGGTTGTTAAGCCTCCGGACTGTCATGTTCATGAATCACTCATGTATACACCTTTGTTGGATAGTTTTTACACTTGTCATGACACCTGTATTGCAGTCAAGATAAACAGTTTGTGCATGTTACTTGTTCAATAATTTAGCTAATAGGAAAAAAAAATATGTAGAGCAATTTTTTATTTTCAAAAAAGAAAAAACCTTGTGAAAGAGGGAAGTGGAATGCATGCTATTGTCTGGATTGTCTGTGTGAGAAATACTTTAATTAATAACTTGTTATAGTAGTTAATTAATAATGGTAATCATTTTATTAATTAATGATGTCATTGTTTAAGTGCGCCTAACTTGGTGCTTAGCATTGTGCAATTATTCTTTTATCTTAAGTAGTCTTTGGAATCTCTTGAGTTGCACTGGGCATGAGGATGTAGGGGTGTGCAAATAATTCAATAGAATTGAATTGAATTGAAAATTGCACCAAACTGCTCCATAAGAAATTTGTTTTAGAAAATTTGGTTATGAATTAGTTCACAATTGGTTTGAAATAGTTGAGAAACGAACTGAATGATTTATAATAATGGTTAAATGAATCCATTATAATACAACAATATTTAAAAGAATTAAATTGAATTAAAATTTGCATCAAACTGCCCCATAAGAACTGGTTTTGTTAAACAATTATTGAACCTAAATTATTTAAGAACTAGTTTGAAATAGTAAAGAACCGAATTGAATTATTTATAATACAAAAGTATACTCCATCATAATTCACTCTAGCATTCAATATCCTTATTAAGTCTTTATTGTTCTTTTACCATATATAGCATTCAATCATACATTTGGTTAAATATCAAATCATATGTTTTTTACTACTGTGGGGTAAATTACAACAAATATTAATAAATATAAATTTGATTCTTTTAAAGTAAAAAATGCATAATTATATTTTTGGATTTAAAAAATTGAGCAAGTAGATTTTAACAACTATGTAAGACATTTTCATATGGGGAAGCTAGTTCCAAACTAGTTTGAAAAATACCAAGAACCGTTTCAAAACTACTTTATAAGACACAAAGGTTTAGAACTAGTTTTGAAACCAATTCAGTTCGTCCTGATTTTGAAATTGATTTTAAACTGGTTTTCATATAATTTGGTTTAAGGATTGGACCGGAAAAATTAATTCATTTCAATTCAGAAATTCAATTTTATTCTTAACTATGCATACCCTACGACGGAAAATTAATTCCATGGCCCCCCTCTCTCAGTGGGGGTGCATTGGTCCCGGACCACTAGATATTTGCTCCCTACGAGGATGCAAATAATGAGAAATAACCAAGCAGTACAAAACTTTGTGCTAGGATTCCAATGTAACTCCTTATAATAATATTTTAAAAAATAACTAAAAATTAAACCGATGAGAATTTCATGGTTAAATTTGTGGATGATTTGTTTGTTGAGATTTTCGAGGTCATGGATCATGTGATTGCATGGTCAGAAGGGAAATTATTAAGATGCTCCTGGAGCACTATTTATTCAGTAGGACAGACTAATTAAAATCAAACAATGAGTGTGACGAGTATGTCTTAGAACGGAATGGAGAAAAGCTATAAGTATGGTGGAGGGTTAAACCCGCTGTGATTCCTATGTTCCAGATGGTCCCTTTTTAGTCCTTTTCCCCTTCATTTCTCCCACTTCTTCTTGTCTCTTTCTTTTTTCTTTTTTTTATTTATAAATACATATATTTTTATTTTATTTTATTTTATTTTTTATTTTATTTGTTTATTTTTATTTATTTATTTGTTTTTTGTTTTTTTTTTTCAACCGTTCTGTATCTTTCATGTGATTCATCTACCACCGACCCCAATTAATTTGGGATAAAAGTGTTGTTAATGTTGATGTTGAATGAGTGTGACGAGTGTACGGAAAGAGAGAAAAATTAATTTTTAATCCAAGTGTCTCATTTTGAATTGAAGGAGCATGTGCTCCTATAGCATAATAAATGTGTTCGCTCTGAAGGATAATCAATGTAGTGAACAGAGAAGAGGAGGGTGAAGATATTTATTGCGCTCCAGATATGAAGATGGAGATGAACATGAGGAAGAGACTAATGATGATTGGCAGAGTTATTGGTAGTGGTAGAAGCAAAAATATTATTTGAATGGATGTTTGTCTAAATTCTAAGCCCAAAGATAGAGAAGCATCCCAATCTATACATCATTATATGGATTAAGGTGACTAAAAAGATACAAAATGTGGCCTGTGAGAGGTCATAAAACAAAAGCTTTTAGAGTGGAGGGGAAAACTTCCCTTACCATCATCACCTTGCTATAAAGGAGTCAAAGGAGGTTCATGCCTTGATTGAACTAATTCCTAGTGTGAGCATACCAAATCTGTCTCCCTATGCGATAAGCCTAGAGAAAAGTGAGATTCTGAAGGAAAAAGTGTATTTGATTTTGCACAAATGCAGGTTGTAAATGAGTTGAATTGGGTTCAACCTTAGTTTAAATAAGTCAAGTCTATGTAAAATATTTTAGGTCTGACCTAGCTTCTTACTTTGTGTAAGCTCACATTATAAGTCTGACATGACTTATATCTAAAAAATTAAAATTTTGGCCTAAATTTTTTAACCTGTTTGAACCTATTAGGCATTCAATAAAAAAATAATTGAAATAATATTATTTTATTATTTATTATTTTATTATTTAAAATTATTAAACTAATTACTTAAATTATTTAATTTAAATAATATGATATAGACTAATCTACAGGTTTATAGGTCCGGCATGTAAAAGAAAATTTGTAACCTGCTTTTTAAATAAATTTTTTTAATAGGTCGAGTCTGGCCAAATGTAGGCTAAGCCATATTACGCTACTTCTCATTTACACCCCTAAGTCAAGGGGCAAATTTGAGAGATCATGAGTATATGTGCCTCTCCAACCTTTTTAACACCAAAGAAAGATGAAAGTGCCTAGATAACATCCATCAACAAAATAAATTGATCTTCACAATGGATACCATAGATTCGGCTCAGACCCTGTGATGAGGACTTTAAAGACAAAGGGGGGCTATTTGAATACCTGGTGATGTCATTCGGGCTTAAGCATCTTTATGTGGTTAATGAATCAAGAATTTTGGGTGATACTATTGTATTTGAAACTTCAAACATTTATTGTGAAAGTCAATAATAAATAAATGTTCAGTAATTACACAAAGTATTAATATCTTAGCAACATAAAAACCTAGGCGTTTATGTGGTCTATTCAACAAACTATTTGAATTTGATGTTGTCCAAATTTTAGAACTAAATAATTTTTGTATGGGTTTCTCTTTTCTCATGTCACATAAGGTTGCATCTCTCATGCCATAGACACAACAAGGGGTGGGGCCCACCACTTGTTAAAAAAACAAAAAAACAAAAAGGATTACACAAATTTCGATGTCTCACAACATAAGAAAACTATCTCCTATCGCATGAGAAAATGATTTCCCTTTCTTTATAATGTCTAAAAACCGTACTCTCTGGGTACGAGAAAGGAATGCATTTTGGGTACAACGGTGGTATTAAAAAATAGATGCAACAATGTATTTTACACTGTAGTTTACTAATAAGACATAATATAAAGTATAAAAGCATATTTTTTCTATCTTTCTCCGGTATATATAAGCTGAGGTGGTACACTCACATTGGCTGAATGTACCTGCAACGGTGGTATTGAAATGTTTTCTCTGGGATAGGGGAAGGCAAATTGAGATGAAAAGCATTTATGGAGATCGCACCTGCTACTCTCACTCAATGTTCCTATATCCGACCAACTTAGATGCTGTTAACACAAGATTACTAAGTAAATATTACGTGTAAACTATCATTCAGTCCACTCACTGCTTTTTTGTATTTTTCAGATGAAATGTAGTCCTAAGAAATATTTCTTTATTATATTATTTTTTTTGGTACAAAAGAATAAGTTTGTTTTAAACCAGACAAGCGAAAGTAACTAATAATTTCGTAAGTAAAAGCAGAAACATTAATATTAGCAAAATTATGAGTATGGAAAATTTGAGATCAATTATAATCATATCCCAGCTACCACATTATAAAAAACACCAGAAAAAAACTATTAGCAATCCTAGTCTATTCACATGTGTCTAAACTCTTTGATTGTGTCTAAACTATATAGAGCAGCATACTGGTAACTGAAAAAAAAAAATTAACAAAAAAACCCTAACGGGCCAGTCCACAATCAAAGAGTTTTGCTTGTTTAACCTGCTGGTTAAATAAGTTAGTTTCGAAATATATTGGTTTAAACAGAATTTAAAATCCAACCACCTAATTTTACTAGGTAAACGGCTAACTTGATGAATTTTACCCCTTTTGAGACCTTCCTAAAATTACTAAAATCAACAACAAGTAGAAGTAATTTTATAAAGGGTTTGTTTTTTATGATGTTACTTTAGATAATTTTATCTAATGTTCATCAAAACGACGTCGTTTTGAGACGGAAATCATGATATTTTTGTAATTTTAATTTATTTCAGAGTTATAAGAGTCTTTATCACTTTAATTTTTTAATTTTTCAACCCCAAAACGACGTCGTTTCGATGAACATTAGATAAAGTTATCTAAAGTAACATCGGAAGATTTTTTTTCCCTTTTATAAATTGGAAAACTTCTTTGATACACTATTTGTAAAAAGAGACTAGTACGTTTAAGAATGATATTTAGTCATTGGTTCCACTTAAGTAGACACGTCACTAAATATTAACTACTCATTACTAGGATAGATACACTCCAAAAACATAGGTACTCAATCAACCACCACTTTTAAGCTTTGCATGTGACCTCATAGTTTAGTACCAACTGCACGTTTCAGTTTTCTTCGCTTTGAGGCTTTGACCCCGAAAATCAAGAACTACTCCCAAACAAATTACGTTTCCTAAATATTGCTTGCTTAAATTATTTCCTCAACCAAAATGCTTTCCCATATTACTTCAACATCAATTCTAGCGAAACCTATTTACAAAGCCATTGTTTTCTCTAACACCTAGGTAGAAGAATGTTGCCTAAATTTATATATAATACGAGTAACTCTCGGAGGTCGTTAAACGGAGTAACCCCAGAACCTTTACCACTAGTCCACTACCGTAGACAACTACACCTTGATGCCATCCTTTGATCAATTGAGGCCAATTAATAAATTAAGGGTTTTTAATTAGGACTTTATTCATTATGTCACATAAGAAAAAATTTATCTCCTACTCTCATTTTGATTTTCATGCTTTGTTTCATTCTCTTTCCTTTTTTAAAAAATAAAATAAGTCCCATCATTTATTGTAAGAGTAGGAAAAAAATTTATCTTATGTAATATAAGAAAAATAAAACCTTTTAATTACAATAAAGGTTTAAAACAAAGGAGAATGAATCCTCTCTTGCTATCTCTTTCTTTATTAATGATAATAAACCCAGCCTATTTAACTTATGTAAAACAAAATAAACACAAAATTCACATAACCAAATTATATGATCATGTAAATTTTTACCAATGATCAACTCAAAAAAAAAAATTGTGCTGACCACAGGTAACGCGTCATCTATGCAAATCAAATTCCTTCCCCACACCCAAACTCATGTAACCAAACACACAAACCAACAAATATGTCCAGAACCAAATGAAAGTCATAATTAAAATCAGCGTTGAAATAGTCCTTCAACCGAAGGAAGGTGATCCATAAGAAACCAAAAGTATCTAATCTAACGAAACAAACTCAACCTGAAAACTGGTTCAAAGCCAGTGCCGATAATAACAATCCATCATCTCTAAGGAAAAAAAACCCCAACATGAAAATCTTAAGAAACAAGGTTGTCATTAAGTGATAATGAAGCGAGCTGATCAGCAGCACCACCACCAGCCTGCTGCTGCTGTGCAACATTCCTCAGGACGTCCATTGCCTCAGCCACCTTTGCCTTCAGGGCTTCTGGTGACTCAAGCAAGTGCAGAACTTCAGTCTGGTCCATCTCCAAAAGCATGCCTGTCACTTTGGCAGCATTATCAGGCTCCAACTGTTCGACAAGAGGGTAAAGATTCTCACCCAGCATCTACAAATATATAACCAACAAACAAGAGTTAGTTACAAACACTAAAAAGCAGCAAATGAAGCTGGGGCTCATCCACAAACTTCATATCAATGATTTAACATACTAAACATTAGAGGAGGTCAAAAGCCTACCGTCCTCTGCTGCTCGGGAGCAGAATTTGCCAGAGCAGAAGCCAAAGCCCCAATAGGAATTTGCTGGGAGATTGCTGCATCACGCAGCGGCATCCCACTCACATCATATGGAACAGAAAACATGCCTCCAGCAACCCCAGGCATGGGAACATCAGGAATACCCCTACCAGGAGGATAACGATACACACGCCCCCTAGGAAGCATCTGTCAATCCCAAAATTATCAGGTCAATGTTCCAAACAGGATAGTTAATCAGAAAAAATATGAACACAAGATGGAATTCCACCAACCTGCTGCGGCATAAGTGGAACTGGCTGCTGGGACTGCTGAACTGCACCTGAACGTCTTCCACCAGGACGCTGCCCCTGTTGCCCCTGTTGAACCATTGGCACAAAGAAATTTGGGACAGGAGCCCCACCAGGCCTCATACCAGGCACAAGTTGTTGTTGATAACCAAATCCAGGCTAAGAAAAATTGCAAGGTCAGACAGGAGAATGATGATGAAATTACTCATTTGACATAAGAACAAAATCAGAGGAATAGCATTGAGCTCCATTCCATATTGCACTAATAAAAGTCTAAGTAGAAACAGAGTAGAAGGGTTTACCTGGGAAGGAATGATAGCAGGAGGGCCTTGACCATAAAATATTTGTTGACCCATACCTGGACCACCAGTGGGATACATTGGCACACGAGGAGCAACAGATGGTGCCATTGCTACAGGACGCATTTGAGCAAATTGAGCCTGCATAAATAATTGAGTCCAATACAAAATCATCTTTACAGTCACCGAGACTCAATAACAAAATACAACACACCACTATTAATTACATTGATGATGAAGCAAGACACAGCATCACCAAAGCCCATCTCCCCGGTTACTTGTGCAGAAGAGCTACTAGAATTTTTCTAAGGAAATATAATATAGATGCAGAAAAACATGTACACTACTCTTCTAATAATCTATAATCAGCTCCAATTAAAATCATTACATGTTAAGATAACTGAAAGTCTGAAAGAAAGTGACTATGGCTTATGTGTGCATGTGCTAGGAAAAGACAGAAGGCTGCAAATATTTGATTCTGCGCTGGTAATACATAATTCCACCTACAGATGGAAGTTGAAAAGAGCTTAAAATTTAAAACAAGGCATACCTGCAGTCTAGCTCTTCTATCTTCTTTCCTTTGGGCCAGAGTCACATACAGAGGTTTGCTTACCACCATTTTCCCATTCATATCCAAGAGCTACCAAATGATAAGCCAAAAAAAAAAAATCATTTCCAAACTAAAAAAAACCACCTATTATTTTCAACAAGAAAATACTGTATGACTTACTGCTCTAGATGCCTCTTCAGGAGTTGAGAATGCCACAAACCCTGATCCTCGACTTATGCCGTTGGGGTCTCTCATGACCTTTCAAATGAAAAGGAAATAATATATGGAGACTATATAGCTAACAACCATTTAGTGTGAAGCCAATTATATTACATACCTTGCAAGAGGTAATGGTACCAAAAGGGGAAAACAGCTCCTTAAGTTTATCATCACTAATGCTATCATCTAAATTTTTGACATACAAGTTTGCCCCTTGATATTTATCAGCAGCTTCTTTCATGCTCTGCTCAAATCGTTGTTTCAATTCGTTCTCCCTTTCAGATTTCTTTTGAGCTTTTCCAACATACCATTCTTTGTCATCAAATTTTTTGCCATTAAGAGCGTCAACAGCTCTAGCAGCATCATCAGCATTCTCAAAGTTTACAAATCCAAAGCACTTTGATTTCCCATCCCCATCTCTCATCACTACAGCACTAGTAATTGGTCCAAATTCACCAAAAACACTCTTCAATTCATCATCGGTGGTTGATTCTGATAGGTTCTTGACAAAAACATTGTTAAATTTTGCCTTATCCATTGAACCTTCTCTCTCTTGCTTGCGAAGGAAGGGTCCAACATACACTTGTTTATCATTCAACAGCATACCATTCAGCTTCTCTATGGCTTTTTGAGCAGCTTCCTCATTATCAAATTGTACAAAGCCATAGCCTTTTGATTGTCCAGATGAATCCGTAGCTACCTTGCAAGAAAGGATATTCCCAAATGTAGAGAAGGTATCATATAATGCCTTGTGATCAATAGCCCTGTCCAAATTCTGCAATAAACCACAAATTTGAAAGAAAATAAATGGAAAAGTCAGGACGAACTAGGATATGCAATAGAAGCTTAGCAGGATTACTTCCATTACCAGACGATGTAGAAGAACCAAGAATCTATACCTTAATAAATATATTTCCTGCCCCACTTTTGCGGATACTGGGATCACGGTGTGAATACATAATACGGATGGGCTTGTTATTGAGAGGAGTGAAGTTCAGAACATCCAATGCTCTGGCAGCTGTAAACAAGTAGTGACTACGTTATGAACAGTAAGAAAAAGACGGGAAAGAAGACCCATAGAAAAAAAAAAACTTGTTTATCACAACATCAACAACACAATAGAAAGTATTACTCAAGCATAGAAAACCATACGTGAATTTTTCATGACATGGTGATAAAATCTGTAAACCATACCCAACAATGTAGAATGGTCCTGGCCAGTCAGTGATCTAAAATAATGATAAAATTCCATCTTATTGTTAATGAAAAGAATCATCGGCAGACCAATATCTCATGACATATAATGTGATGTGAGTCATGTGACTATAGTTTTAAAGTTTTGCACTCAACCCACATCCAGATGTAAACTACAAATTCCAGAAGCAAATTGCCAAATATTTGGGATAAATCTAAAGAGTTTGGTTAATTTAGGAGATCATGAATTCAAATTAGGTTGATTTAAAAAATCACGAATTCACAAGTCATGAATCAAAAGGCAAAGCTCAATCACGAGAGAGAGAGAAATGAAAAAAATAATCACAAAATTTTTTAATACACAAATAGAAGCAAAGCCATTAACATTAAGTAATTTACAATAAGTAGAAACTATTCTAATTCTCTAAAATTCATATCAATATGAATTAAGTAGCTAGAAAGCAAGTTAGGTACGGCTAGTGTAGGTCGGATACACTAAACATTCAGGCCCTCTTCTGGTGAGTAGAATTTGCAAGACCATCTTTCAAGTAGCTCAATGAATCTAGCTTGAAATTCTGTCGATTTGCTAAACAGTCTCCAACTCAAGAACTTGGTGATCCCAAAGGTACCCCCCTACATCATTCGTATACTGTAGGCACTAGAGGATTTATACTGCAGTTATTACATTAGCTATTACAGCTTATGCTTCCCAATAAGTATCCTTTCACACATGAAAAATGCCATGATTAAACTAAATTTGTGCAGTAGTGCAAGTCTCTTTTGGATAATTTTTAAGATTATAGAAAAAGGAGGAAAAAACACTGCATCATATCCCTCTCCAATGAATCAAAAGTCAAAACAATTTGCTACCCCAAGATTAGCTTTTGACACAGCATGCAAAGTTTCTTTTTCCCGATTAAAAAAGAACGCAAAGAAGTTTATGTGATTTACTTCCTAAACAAAATTCAATTAATAATCTACCTTTCAATAAACACGTCTAATCACAATAAACTACAAACAGACTTGCTTGATGAGCGGCAAAAAAAGCCCGCTCTTGCATTAAAAGAAATTAAAAACGCAATATATTAATTATGACAAAAAAATGTTATCAGCACGACTTTGTATAGCAAACAGGCCAATAAATTCTCCATCGGTTCCTTTCACGGTTATCAGTTTCGTCCTTACTCTTAGGTTTCTCCAGAGCCGAAGTATACAAAAACCAATATTAGTATGAATCTCTCACCAGGGAATTGACATAATACAGTCATGAGTTAAACCACAATTTAGATGGCAAATCAGTGTACAAAATACGCAGATTAAAACCAAGCAATGAAACTAATTCATTCAGATATAAGATTCAGCCTTTCACAAAAACAAAAAGGGGGGGGGGGGGGTTTGGGTAAAGCTAAAAGCTTTAATATTCCAAGGCACAGACTGAATAAACAGAGGAACGAAGCACAAAAATAGAAACGAAGGAAACAACTAACCATCTTGTGGGTTGCTATAGTTGACGTAACCATAACCGAGCGATCTTCGGGTGGTCAAGTCCCTGCAAACCCTAACAGACACAACCTGACCCAATTGGTTGAACAGGTCATAGAGCTGCGAATCCGTGACATTCGGGTCCAGATCTCCAACGTAAAGCGACGTCGTCACGAATTGGTTTCCACCGGCAGCAGCCGCCGCAGCGGCAGCGGCAGCAGCAGCAGCACCGCCGTTGGGACCCGAAATCGCATTCTGAGGCTGAACCTGAACCTGAGCCATCTCAATCAACAACGACAACAACTACCTCAGCAAAACAACGATCTAATTCCTGATTTTGTTTTTCCAAAATATTTTCCTAATTTTTCCCTTTTTTTTCTTTTTCTTCTCTTCCCCCTCCTCTTGTTATTGGGAACGATAAAACCCTAGGAAGAACAGAAAACCTAGCTAGACTCAGCGAACGGTAGATGCGAGCAGCAACGCAACTTCCTGAAAAAAATTTGTTTTTTTTCTGATTTTTGTTTTTTTGTTTTGTGAGAGAATAAGAGAAAAAAAAACGAGGAGAGGGAAGGGAAATGAGATGCGGTGGTAGATGTGAGGAAGATAAGGGGTGGCCGCCGGTGGTAAGCGCGGCGGCGCGTGAGGGATAAAAGAGAAATGAAATAGGTGAAGAGAGAAGCTGAATAGAGAGAGAGGGAGAGCAGCAGATACTGCACTAAGAAAAGGAGAGAGAAATGAAGCAGTAACAGAGTGTATATAGGTTGGTGGATGGTGGCAGGTTAGGGTTTACCCTAGCACAATCCAGTGAGGAGATCTGAACCGTTGGATGAGGGTGGATGTGGGTCCCGAGGGTGAGTAACGTGAGGGTAGATTTCGCAGATAAGGCTTGAAGAATCACAAAGGAAAAGATGATGAAAGGATTGAAAAAATGGCAGGTGAAAAAGGAAGAAAATGGTGCTTTCACAAATCACAAAGGTAACCGATAGAAAGAAAAGATCCCTGGTAAATAGTGATTTACCACAACACCAAAACAGTTACAGTTTGAGGCAAGCTTATCTCTCCGCAAAAAATTATTATTATTATTATTTACTTTTGTTGAAATGAAATGTATTTCAAACTCAAAATGGCTTTTACAATAGGAAATGTGTTTTTGTTGTAGAAATTTTTGTAATTATTTTTTAACTATGTATTTTCTGAAGTATATAATTAAAAAATCAGCAATAATTTTTTAACTATGTATTTCAGAAAATACATAGTTAAACAAAATAATTTTAATATTATAATTATATATTTCCAAAAATACATAATTTAAAAATAGTTGTAGGACTTTATGTAACCTTTTACAATTCATTAGTTCATTAAACAGAAGGTAATTTATCCTTTCTAGATTTTCACTGAGAGCATACTTTTTTAGTGTAAGAAATATTGAAATGCAACAGAAACAATGTGCGAAGATTGAACAATTATAAATATCACTGATCCTGAATTATAAAAACACGATTACTTTCTTTGATAGTTAGTCTTTCTTTGATAGTTAGTTTTATTTAGGTTATATTTTTTTTTAGGAAACAATTACATTTTATTATTATTATCATTATTAGACAACACGTACGGAGGAAAGGGAAGAGAAGATCATCTTTTTTTTCTTTTTTTTTTTGGTAAGCTGGAATCAGGAACCAGCAAGAAACTACACAATAGTCACTATACGGGCCTTACAAACAGATGCTAAATCAGCAATAAAAACAGAATGAATCTGAATAGGAGGATAACAAAAAATAGACATATATTCAGCACTAGGATTGTCCAGAGCATAATTTGCCAGCCAGTCAGTACAGCAGTTGTCTTCTCTGTATGTGTGAGCTAAGTAAACCCGCCAATCTTTTTGTAACCACGCCCGTATACGAACCACCAAATGAGATTCACGGGCTGCAACACCATTTTTAGAAAGAATGGTGATTGCAGATGTTGAATCAGATTCAACAATAAGATTTTTCCAGCCCTCCTCACAAGCCATCTCTAACCCTTTGAGAATACCCCAGAGTTCAGCATTAAGAGAATTACAAGGTCTCTCTCTGTAAGAGAATCCTTTGAGCCAATGTCCCATATGATTTCTAGCAATACCACCACAAGCAGCTAAACCAGAGGAACTTCTACAAGCACCATCAGTATTCAATTTAATCCAACTCTCATTAGGAGGTTTCCAACAGACAGGGATATCTATTGTAGCCTTTATTGCATTATGCCTGTTAGCAAACTGAAAAGCACCATGGGCTTCTTTGGCTTTAGAAATAATCAAACTCTCTTCAAAATGGCTAGGCTGAGCAGAATTATTACCAAAGACAACATCATTCCTCCATTTCCAAGCCCACCAGCAAGTAATACCAAAAATAACGCACCATGGTATATTCCCTCTAGAGCCTTCCCTACAAGTCAGATTACTATCCATCCAAATATGTAACTCGTCCGTGAAAAAGGAGTTACCAAGGCTGATAGGAATGAGTTTTAACCAAAGGGTCCTCATATTCCTACAATCTCTTAATAAATGTAAAGTAGATTCAGCATCTTCCATACAGATTGACCAATATCAAAAGAACTTACTCTATTTTTTGTTGGCAATCTATCATGAATAACTTTCCATAAAAACAATCTAACCACCTGATGTCCTTCCCATTTCCAAACTTTTTTCCAAATTGAAGAAGAATTAGAAATAATTGCAGAATTATTACCTGCAAGAGTTTGAAACAAGCTTTTGACTGAAACATGATCTGAGTCCTTCAGCTTCCAACGCACATAAAAGTCAAGAACAGAGAAACTATGTATCCAAGAAGGAAATATAGTACGTAATTTTAAATAACATAAAGTTACGTTATTTTGAGAGAGAGAGACAGACACAGAATTTTTTTTTTTAATTTTAAATTAAAAAAAATCACTCACTTTCTTTCTCCCAAGATTTTTATTTTTCTATGTCTATCTCTCTTCTAAAACGACATAACTTATGTCATTTAAAATGACAAACACCAAACTCATCCAAAAAAAATAAATAAATAGAGAAACTAGATTAAACCGAATAGTGAAATTGAAAAAACAAAAAACGTTTGTTTTTAAAATGTTCAATCACTTAAATGCAGGTCTTGAATGCCATTGTATGTTGTATCTAGTGTTAAATTACAAAAATGCCACTTGAGTAAATAATTTCTAAAAAATTATTAAAACGGTTTTAAAATGGAAAAAATAATAATGATGCAATTGCAATCTAGCAATTGTATGTGATCTTTGTTAACATTTGGATGCTTTAAAAGGATACAAGGGAATTGGAATTGGTAGTTGAACGGGTGTTAAATTAAATTTAAATTAACTGTCTCAAATATAATACTTAAAAAAAACAGTTATACACTTTTAGATTTTGTTTTTTTCTACCTTATTTTTTTTTCAACAAATTATATTTTTTGTTTCTCTTTCTTTCAATCATTGATTTAAATTTAATTTAATAGTAATAAAAAGATTTCATCCGTTCATTTAAATTTAATCTAATAATAATAAAAATATAATAAGGATAAAAAGATTAAATATATAAACAATGCACATTAAAAAAAATGTCATTCACAAAAGAAGGTAGTAAAAAGCTCTACGTGAGTATTGTAGCTTTTTCACCTCCCTAGATAGCAATTAAGCGATGACAGACGCCGACAAAATTTTTGATTTATTTCCTCCGTGCTTCGCATAGGTACTGTACTAATTATGAAATTAAATGTGGACAGCTCCATTCAGAATATTTTATATTTTTATGCATTATGTATGTGAGACTATGAGAGTCTATTTGGAGACGTAAACGCTAACAAGAGTTTACAACTTCTGAGGTTAACATATTAGTTGTGCATGTTTCAATTAGATTAATTTTGTAGGAAAAAATATTTTGAAAATATACTTTCAATAATTATAACTTTACTCTTAATACTGTCATGACCTGTTGTTAAAATTTTGATTTATCACTATAATTTTATATTTTTATAATTTTTTTCATCAAAACAATTTTTCTAATATTTTGAACTTTTTTATGTTTTTTATAATTTTTTACAATTTTTTTATATTATAATTTTAAATTTTACTATTTTTTAATTTTATTTCAAATCTCAATTTTAACAACGTTAGTCTTCGCCATTGAAAATACTGTAAAGAGCCAACCAATGCTTATGCCATTTATCATGGCGAACAGAATACTATATACACAGCATCGTGTTATTTGGCCCGCCAAAACATTGCTTACGTTCCGCGGATCGATTCAACAGGGGATCAGATTACAAGCCGGATAAATAACAAACCAATAGTCTACCGTCTACCCACAAAAAATAACAAACCAATAAGAAAATCAATAAACTGACTCATGCGGGCTTTTTGACCAATATAGCCTTTTTTTAATAATTAATTACCAAATTGATCATATTTATAAACTATTTCAAAAATTTAACCTCTTCAGAAAACATAACACCAATCTGCCCCTGTTTGACCGTTGACCATGAAGCCTACCCAGGTACACTCCTCTCTACCCGGGTATATTTTGAAATTTTTTACCTACTAGGGTACACCCCTCCTTACCCAGGTATATTTCTTGAATATGAAAAAATATTTAATTATTTACCCAGGTAGGTAGGAGTGTACCCGGGTAAATAATCATGCTTGTTAATGATTAGGGAGCCTATTGGATCTTCTGCTACCAAGTCATTCTTGTTAATGATTTTTCACTTGGTTTCCTCATCAGAGAATAAAGACTTAATCTCACAAAGATTTGTGGAATTGGGTTTGGTTTCGCTCGTGCTTGAGGCTATTGTTGATCCTGAAAGAGGTATCTGCGAGAAAGGTTTGGGGGTGTTGGATTGCATTTGTGAGGGAAAACAAGGGATGGAAATAGCAAAGTCAAATGCTTTGACTTTGCCTCTTGTGATTAAGAAGCTTTTGAGGGTGTCAGAGTTGAGTTCTACTTTTGCAGTCTCTATTCTTTGGAAGCTATGTGACAAGACCGACGAAGGGATCTTGATTGAGGCACTTCAAGTGGGTGTCTTTCAGAAACTCCTTGTTCTGTTGCAGGTGGGTTGTGGTGAGGACACAAAGGAGAAGGCTACCGAGTTGTTGATGTTGTTGAATTGTTACATGAGCAAAGCAGATTGTGTTGATTCCTCATTGGATTTCAAGCACCTCAAGAAGCCCTTCTGATTGATCCATGAGGATGATATTTAATTTCCCTTTTATTTATTTTTTGTATAGGTCATTTCATAGAAACAGAATACACTCTTATACAAAGACACACAGTCACATACAAAAGATACAAATTGTATTTCTAACACTAAATTGAAGTTTTTAAATTCAGTTTTCTGAAATTTGAGATATGAGACATCCAAAGATAAGATATTTGATCCAAAGGAAAACATTGGTTGCGGAATGCAAGAGTGCAGAATCCAGAAGAAGGCCTGTAAACCACGGTTTCTGATGATTATTTACCCGGGTAGATTCCTACCTACCCGGGTAAATAATTCAAACTTTATCCGGGTACACTCATCCGTACCCGGGTAAATAATTTAAGCAATCAAGAACAATACCCGGGTACACACCTTTCTACCCGGTTAAACAAAAAATTTCAAAAGATACCCGGGTAGGTAGGGGTGTACCCGGGTAGGCTTCGTGGTCAACGGTCAAACAGGGGCAGATTGGTGTTATGTTTTTTGAGGGGGTTAAATTTTTGAAATAGTTTATAAAGAAGGTCAATTTGGTAATTAATTATTAATAAAGGGTTATAAGGGTCAAAAAGCCGACTCATGTGGCTTGAACAATTCCGTACATGGGTTTGAACATATACCCTAAAGAAAAATACATGTGATATTAACTACTAATTCACAACTATAAATTTATTTTATTATTGTTATTATTATATATATTTTTATATATATTTGATTCAACCATAATTTAATATTTGAACAGAGACAATAAATAATAGAATAGGATATTATGTTTATCTTTTTCAACACATACTCTATCTATTCATCTTCAACACTATTGTATTAGAATCTTAACTAACTTTCATTATTTTAAAAAATAAAGTAGATATAATAATTAAAAAAAAGATAGGTACGATATCATATCCCTATAAATAATATTAGTTTAAGGGAATAACATATGTCATTTTAAAGAATATAAACTTATATCATTTTAGATCCTAACCGTTGATTTTCGTCCATCAACGGTTATAATTTATTGGATCAAAATTATTAATTAATTAATAATAAATTTGGCCCTTTAAGTTTGACCCAATATATTATAACTGTTGATAGACAGAAATCAACGGTTAGGATCTAAAATGATATAAGCTTATATCTTTTAAAATGATAGATGTTTTTCCCTTAAGGGGTGTTTGGTATGCGGTATTCTTCAGGATTCTCGAGAAACTACATTTTTTTAAATTTCAGATATTATTGCAAACTGAATGTAAAAATCATATTTCTGAAAATCGAGATTTTCGGATAAATTTTTTTTTCTCCTCTACCAAATTTTCGGATAAAATTTTTTCATTAATAATATTGCTTGCCTACACACCTTTTCTGAAAAATAAAGTGGAATTGACATATGTATATTACAATTGAAGTTTTAATAAGTACAAACCTCAAATATGATTTTGAGATGAGACATACAAGAAGGCGTAGAGATGTCAACAAAAATCTGACATAGAGATCAGCCTTATAAAGTTTAACAATCAACTTAAAAATGAATACGTAAAGACCAAAAGATCAAGAGATAATCGAGTTAAAACATTAAGCCTAGCATTGTAATAATATATCATAGTGTTATGAAACTGAATAAAACCCATATGCTTAAGAGGCCCAATAGAAGACAGACAAATAAGTAGCGTGCAAACCACAAAATGGACCCAAGGGAAGGAGACTCAAAGGGTTCAAATCCTAAGGTAAACTCTATAAATAGAAGCTAAAAACTATATGTATGATTAATCTCTCTAACATAATTTATGCAATCACAGTGCACACACACCACTCCTATTTCTGGCTAAGACCCCATAATTGTGTATCGTGATTCGTTACTCCAAGATACCTAACTCATAAGTATCTAGAGAGAGCACCAGATCCAATATTGACTTACTAATCGTTGACTAGACATCTCTGTCGTACAGATAGAACACATATAGGCTTTGATGTAAATAAATTGTATGATTTGTATATAGGAGCATTAGATGATCACACGAAAGTATATGCATGAAACATGACATTTAGTGAACTAGGAAAGGCTTGACACATTGAATACGTGTACCTAAACATTTTCCTACGGGCACACATGGTATAAGAAAGGATAATAACCCATTTGGATTTGAAAAAGGATTACACTTGATACTTAGGACTAGTTTGTGTCATGAAATATTTAGATCCTAACTTTTAGATATTTGGGTCTTGATCCTTAAAGCAAATATCTGGATCTTAGTTATAATTTTTAGTTCATTCTAAATCTAACAACTAATATTCACTTGGGGCCCTATGTAAAGGATCGCCTCGAGCATATTTCACAACGATACACAAGATCATTAACATTTCATAGATTTTTCAATGGTTAAGAGAAAAACATTCATTGTCACCATTTTGTGATCATTACTAATTCCTCTAAGTTGTGTTTAGTAGCAGCTTTCTTGAAATTTACTTAGGCATATGAGATTGGCATTTGGGATTGTCCATGTTTGGTACATGGTATTAAAATTTTTTCCTAGCTAAGTGATTTGCCTAGCCATTGATAATTGTTTGCAAAATCTGATAAAATGCATGGTACTCAAATCCCACTTCCAAGGCGGTATTTCACAAAAGCTAGGTAAATGAAAAAAAATTGGCATCATAACTACCAAAATTACCCTCTTATAAAGCTACCTTCATCCTTCACCATAACTGGAAGCAGAGTGCGATGAATACAGAGACAATTTCTAGAGGTTTGAATAGTCTAAAATGATGTGACAATTTCTGATAGATTTATGACACTGAATGAGAGTACTCTTCACACAATCAAACATAGACATCGCAGGATAAGATTCAAAAAAATTTAAAAATAAGGGGTATTTTGGTAATTGCAACTCATTTTCCCATCAATATTTTAACTCAAACCAAACAAAGACTTTATGATATTTACCAAATTTTTCAGGTAAATTTTTTTTCAACCAAACAACTTTTTTTACATTTTCGTATCAAATTCACTTTCTAACCATTTTCTTATCAATTACATTTTCCTAGTATTCAAAAAATTTCTCCTCAACCAAACGCCCTATAGTTCTTATATTCTAAAATATGCACTTTAAGAGTATGAAACACTTGCACTTCTATAAACAGTTTTGAGAGAATCTTAGAAAGTAAGAATGTTAAATGGTCAATACCTTAAAGGGTTAATCTAATCTCATGTTATATGAGAGAAAATCTCTCATATTATAGTTTGATGCCTTCCTTTCCCAGAGTACTCTGGATGCTATTGCTAAAATTCTGCCCTCTGATAATAGGGAGGAGCAGGACAGGCTGATATGGAATCACTCTAGTTCAGGAGCTTTTTCCATATGTTTAGCCTATAAGCAGTTGTCTCTAGATGATGGGATTTCTGACTCAAAAATCTGGAATGTTGTGTGGAAGTGGGAAGGGCCTAATAGGGTCAGATTCTTCCTTTGGTTATTGGCTGGTAATAAGTTGCTCACTAATGCAGAAAGAATGAGAAGACATATGACAGTGAATAGAGCTTGTCCTAGGTGTAATGCCTGCAGTGAGGACAGTGACCATGTGTTCAGAAAATGTCCCTGGATTCGGGTGGTCTGGAGTTTGTGGATAGATAGCAAAGATATGCAATCTTTCTTGGAATGCAGCATGGATACTTGGCTGCTAAAAAACTTGCACGGGGGGAACCAGAACAAATCTTGGTGTTTGAAATTTGGTGTGATATGCTGGCTCATATGGAAGGATAGGAATAATTTAGTATTCAAAGGTGATACCTCAACTCAACTGGATTTATTTTCACAGGCTTCTCTCTTTGTGAATAATATTAAGATGGCCAATGGACTACTTATGGCTGCTGGTCTTGGGTTGGATATGGAAGAAGAAATCTGGATAAGGTGGAAAGCCCCTGCCCCTGGGTGGTTTAAGATGAATACTGATGGGTCATTTGTTAGCAATGAGCCGAGGGTTGCTTGTGGTGGGGTTTTAAGGGATGCAGAGGGAAGATGGATTATTGGCTTTTCCAGGAAGTTGTATCCAGAGTCAATCCTGATGGCAGAGCTCTGGGGTCTTTTTATAGGATTGGAATGGGCATGGGAGAATAATCTGAAATTGATTGTGCTGGAATGTGATTCTTTGATGGCTGTAAACTTGGTTAGAGAGGGTTGTGTTTGCTCTAATCCTTGTTTTGCAATTGTGTCCAGGTTAAGATTGTTGCTTAAGAAGGACTGGCTTGTGGAGGTGTGCCATGCATATAGAGAGGCAAACCGAGTAGCAGATTGGCTGGCTACAGATGGGAGCAATGCTGATTGGAGTACGGTTTGGTTTGAGATTCCTTCTGATGGGTGTAGGAATTTGGTTGCTGATGATAGTAGGGGCACTGTTATGCCCAGAGTAGTTAGTGTGTAATCTTTGTTACTTTCCTTTCTATACAAAAAAAAAATCTCTCATATTATAGACATATATATAATGGGATCCACCATTTAAAAAAAATGAATAAAAAAAAAATATCATGGATTTTGATAAGTCTATTAGAGATAACTTACTTTTATGTTACATAAAAGTAGTTTTTTCCTACCTTAAAATTGGCAAATAATTAATGTAAAGTTGTGATGAACTAAAAGTCTTGCACGTTATAGCTGATTAGCTGTCTTCAAGCACCCACTAGAAGCTTAGAACAAGAATGAAAAAAATCGTATGGTGCTTACGTTAGTTTGCGGCTGAATTAGGATAAATTAAATTTCACTATTATCCTCCTTGTCTTTTTAAGATTCCAACACCTCATTGATCCTATTCAATTATGTTCAAATTAATTTAACCTCTGATTCACATGAAATAATTAAAATTGAAGGTTCTTTAACTAGTAAATTGATTTGTGGGATACATAGAATATTATTGATCAATTTGCTATCATTTAAGAGTGATTTTGCTACTACTTTTAGGCTGATCCCATTATTTTATATTGGCTTGAACTGTGTC